CCTGTGCAGCTGTTGGATGAATGGTGAGGTGGGTGGCTGTAAGTTGGGATGAAAGGATGTTCCTGATATTTTAAGTGACAAAGGCAAGATACAAACTGGCATGTGTCATATGAGGGGTATGTGGACCTGGATCTGGGAGAGGCCTGGGTGGTTAGAGGGGGGATAGTTGTTTCAGAGCAGTTGGCAGCTGGAGCCAGGGGCAGGGATGACATCACCAGGAGACTGCCAACCCAGGGACCACAGCCATGCTTAGAGACAGGTGCAGGGGGGGCCTGGGGGGAAAAGTGTCACCCAGGGCATCCCAGCCTAGTCAGCTAAGTCTCTTGACCCCTGGGGTCAACTCCTGTCTTCTAACCCAGTGGAAATGCTCTGATTCTAAATTCTGGGATTCTCAGACCCTGTGGAATTTCCACAGAGCAGCCCAGTGCCCTGCCCTTTCCTGGAGTCCTGTGCTATTGTCAAACACTCAGCAGGCCATCCCTGGCCACCACTTCTCAAATTTTTCTCATTCCAGCTGGGATCATTTTCTCTTTAGGGAACCCAGGTGTCCTGCCCCCTCCAGTAGGGAAAGTCTGGGAGTGAAAACAGTTCAGGGAGGGAGGGTACCCAAGTGCCCTCCCTACAAGGCTGAGTCTGGGCAGCACCTGCCATGTGCCCCTGTTAAGCTCCCCCAAGGCGCTGCCTCAGCACAAAGTGCCCATCTGGCTGGAGAGTCAGGTTACTGCACAAGGGGACCTGTAAGGGGACCCAGGGCTCCCCTCCTCCCGACCTGGTGGCCTTTTCAGCAGACTCAGGGCCCGGTGGTGGAAGGGGTATCTTGTGAAGGGGTGGGGGAGGGGCAAGGGATAAAGATCCTCAGACTGGGGTGCCTGTTTTCTGACAGTGTATGATTTGGGGCCTACCCTAGTTCTTTTCTGAGCCTAACTTTCTTCAACTGTCACGAGATAGAATGACCATGGACCCGGCCCTGGGTAGGATACAGAGGAGAGGGTAGGGTGGGGTCTGAGAAGCCTTGCTCCCCAGTCCCTACTGTGCCTAGCTTGTTCCACTCGGGGTGGAACCTGGGAATATTTAGAGTGTGGGGTGGGCTGGGAAGAATGATTATCCTTTGTGAACCCCCACCCTCAACTTGGATGCCCTGCGCTTTGCCCAAACAGATCTTTGCCCCAGAAATGAGGCAGTGGGCCCAGGGAAATGAGCCCTGGGGTGGGGAGTACGGGTAGCCCAGGAACACTTCCTGACATCCTAAGCCCCTCATGAGGGCTCCCAGGCTTCTCTTCCAGCTCTGCGGACAGCAGGGGGCTGCGGGGCAGAGCCTGGGCTGGGGAGCGGCAGTCTGGGTTAAACGCAGGCTCTGCCCGGACCTGTGAGATGCCCAGGACAAGCCGCCTAGCCTCCCAGGCCTCAGTTTTGCCGTTGGGAAATGGGTGAGCACTCACTTTCCGCTGCTGCTTCTCCCAGGCCGGGTCCAGCAGCAGGTCGCGGTCCCAGTCCTCCTCCTGTTCCATGTACTCGCCGCCCCCGCCGCCCGCGAAGGGCCCCTCCCCGGCCCCCAGACCCTCGGGCTGCATAACCATCATCATCTTGCTTGGGCTCCTGGCTCCGCTCCGCGCGTTCCCGGACAACCGGGCCCCGTTAAGTAGGTCCCGGCCCAGCCCCGGATCGGATTCGCACTAAATATGGGGGAGGAGGGTGGAGCCGGATAGGGGCGAGGACGCTTGGGTCCAGATGAGACCAGAGGTTGCCCTGGAGCCAGGGACTGCGGAGTTGAGGGGTGCAGAGGAAGATCTCGTGGCGGAGATCCGGGATTCGCGTTCCAGTTTCACAGCTTGGGCGCTGTGTGACTTAGCGAAAGCCGTCGGTTCTCTGATTCCTCATCCGCAGAACCGAGATGACCAAACTAACAGTGGCTGCAGATCACCCTAAAGGCTGCCCTCCAGGTTTCGTCCTGACCATCTTCCTGCACTACGAGGGTAGAAAACAGAGCCCTATCCCCATTTCACAGTCAGAAACACGGAGGCGACGAGCTGTCTTGAATGTTTTCTGGGGTGAGGAAGGGAGACACCGAGCATGGGGAGGGGCTCGGAGCCAGCTGGATGGGCCTAGGCAGGGCTATTAATATCGGGGCGGCCGTGGGAGGTGGGGGAGAATGTGCTGAGCCGGGAAACCCCGACGCCTCGGCGGCTGCAAGCCAACCCTCCCCGCACACCGGCCACTCACCAGAGGCGGGGCTTCTGATGGAGGGGCGGAGCCTCCGCGGGCGGGCGGGGCGACGACTCCGCGGTGTCACCTGGACTCTAGCGCCAACCAGATTCCGAGCATTGGCCCAACCAATCAGCTCTCGACATCTGCGGCCGGTCCCTTTGAGTCGCGCGCTCGAGGCTCTCCTTCCGATTTCTATTGGCCGTAGCAGACGTCCGTCTGCTGCTATCTCCGCCCCAACACGGAAGCTCCGGGTCCTCGGGATCCCGCGACTGGTGGGTCCGGACCATGGGGCAGCCCTGGGCGGCGGGGAGCGCTGAGGGAGCGCCCGCGCGGCTGCCTCTCGTGCTCACGGCGCTGTGGGCCGCTGTCGTGAGCCTGGAGCTGGCCTACGTGCTGGTGCTGGGTCCCGGGCCGCCCCCGCTGGGACCCCTGGCTCGGGCCTTGCAGCTGGCGCTGGCCGCCTTCCAGCTGCTTAACCTGCTGGGCAACGTGGGGCTGTTCCTGCGCTCGGACCCCAGCATCCGGGGCGTGATGCTGGCCGGCCGCGGTCTGGGCCAGGGCTGGGCGTGAGTGGGGTGCGGGGTCTGGGGGCAGAAACGGGAGCCTCGGACAGGGGAGGGGCTCCACGACCTGGGGGTTAGAACCAGATTACTTTAGCAGGCGGGTTGTTAGAGCCGGATAACTCTGTAAGATCTGGCGTGGAAGAACCAAAATAAGTACTGCTTATTTACTCAAATACGTACTGAACACCTCCTGGGTGGAAGGTACTTTTCAGATTCTCAACCTCCAGGAATCGATCACTTGGGGGAGGGGCAGATAATGAACTACAGGCACAATAAGTAAGCAAATTATAAAAATGTTAGACGGTGCTGATGTGGAAACAAGAATTAGAGCAGGGTAAAGGGAGTGCAAGTTTCAGTTTTAAGTGGTAGTTCTCATTACAAAAAGTAAGTGAGGTGATGGTTTTGTCAATTACCCTGATTTAATTATTCTGCATTGTATTAGAAGTCATAACAACACTTTGTACACCTTAAATATATATAGCTACAATTTACGATTAACAAGTGAAGTTAAAAAATACATAGTTTGTCAAGGTGGATCTCATTTTTTTTTTTTTAAGAAAGAGTGGGAGAGAGAGAGAGAAAGAGTGGGAGAGAGAGAGAGAGAGAATTTTTTAATATTTATTTTTTAGTTTTCGGGGGACATAACATCTTTGTTTGTATGTGGTGCTGAGGATCGAACCCGGGCCGCACGCACGCCAGGCGAGCGCGCTACCGCTTGAGCCACATCCCCAGCCCGAGGTGGATCTCATTTGAGTGAAGCCTTGAAGGAAATGAAGAATTAGCTGTGTAGGAATTTGAGGATAGAGTGTTTCAGGCAGAGGAAACAGAACCATGCAAAGGCTTTGGGGTAGTTGTATGGCTAGCATGTTTCAGGCACAGCAGTAAGGCCAGAGTGGCTGGAGTGCAGTGAGAGGGGAAGAGATGACAGAGATGTAAGGCAATGCTTTTGAGGAGAAAAGAAATAGAGAACCATTGGAGGGTTTTGAGCAGAGGAGGGGCATGACTTAAGCTTTAAAAGGGTGAGTCTAGCAGCTGGGGTGAGACTACACTAGAAGGGAAGAGAAGGGGAGGATCTGGGAGACCAGTCAAGAAGCTACTGCAGTAATCCAGAGGACAGTTCATGGTGATATGGACCAAGGTGAAGGAAGTGAGAAGTATGCTTTTGGGTATTACGAGGGCAGAGAGGTCAGAGCTGGCAGTGCGGTGGTAGCACTGGAGGGGTCTGGGAGTCTTGTTGGGCCTGCATTTACCTGTGAAGACCCTTAGGCTTAGAGGAACCTGAGGCTTGGTGAGGGGTGGCTCTGTTCTGCTTCCCCAGGATGGGCTGACCTGGGCATGATCTGGGGCACTGACCCTGTGGTTCCTTCCCTGCAGTTACTGCTACCAGTGCCAGAGCCAGGTGCCACCACGCAGTGGGCATTGCTCTGCCTGCCGCATCTGCATCCTGCGCCGGGACCACCACTGCCGTCTGCTGGGCCGCTGCGTGGGCTTCCGCAACTACCGGCCTTTCCTGTGCCTGCTGCTGCATGGTGCTGGTGTCCTGCTCCACATCTCCGTGCTGCTGGGCCCTGCCCTGTCAGCTCTGCTACGGGCCCACTCACTTCTCCATACTGCTGCCCTCCTCCTGCTGCCCTGGCTCATGCTGCTCACAGGTGGGGAGCCTAGGTGCCTCTGCCTTGCTTCAGGAAGGTATTGGGTCAGGAAGTAAAGGCTGTTTTGGTGGGAGGTGGGATTTCCTGTTGGTTTTCTGTCATTTATGGAGGTAAAGGCAGGGTGGCACTCAACAGTGCCCCAAGACAAGGGATAGTTCTGTTGAGAGAATCAGGAAGGATTGCAGGACTTGTTGGCAGAGGAGGAAAGAGCAGTGGGAGCCCATAGGGGTGGTTGGGTGGTGGGAGGTGGGCACTCAGGTGATAGCAACTACAAGAGCAAAGGCCCCCAAGAAGAGCAAAGGCATCTTGAGAATTGTGAGAATTAAGGCTGGGACAGTAGGCCAGGACCGGAGGGTGGAGGGCCCTGAATGCTGGTGTGGAGATGGCTCTGATTTGAGGGGGCAGTAGGGAGCCAGTGAAAGATTCAGGCAGTGGAAAACCTAGTCATTGGGAATTGGGAGGGAAGACTAGGAGCAGGAGGCTTTTGAGATGCTGTGTTTTAGATGACATGCATGTTCCGACACCACCAAGATAAAAGCCCCACCCCACCCCTGATCTTCCAGTCTTTGTTCCCTCCTGGCTAGAATGCTGTGGGCTTTCTCTCCTGAATCCTTCCTGACCTTTTTAGGATTCTCTGTAACCTTGCTCTGCAGTTAGAAATCTCCTGATCACTCTGAGAAGTCGCTGTGCCTCCTCATCCACTCCAAGCCCAGCTCCGCCCCAGGGACCTCCAGAGGTCCACTGTCAGAATCTTCTGCCCACATCAGCTCCCTGACCAGCCCTCCTACACCCTCCTTGTTGCCCCCTGCCTCCACTGAGACTCCCGTGTTCCAGTTGCTCCTCCCTGTGGTCTCCGCAGCCTCCTCTCTTCACTACTCGTCATTGAGTACTTGGCCTCAGCTCCCCATCTCTCTGTCAGCCCTGGGCCCTTTGACATCAAGAGCATCTGAAGGTCTGCAAAGGACTCAGGTTCTTGACCTTTGCTTTACTTCCTTTTCCTATTCCCACGTCCAAACTGCAGTCCTTGTCAGGATGCCAAATGTGTCACTTCCAAAGCCACCCATCGTCATCCCTTTTTGCCTTCCATTCCTCTCCTTTGCTCCATCTCTCACCCTTGCACTCTGTAACTCCTGCTCCAGGACCTTCTGGGCCCTGCTGGCTCCTGGCTGTCACCTTTCTCTCCCTCTGCTGCATCCCCTCTTCACTGCCCCACGCACAGCTTAGAGCCCTCAGTTTTCACCAGTCTCCTGCCAACACGGCAGCGTCCTTGCACTGTACCTTCCTGGCCCTGGCTTCTGAGAGTTGCCAGAGATACATGTCCTCTGTGGCAGGTTGGTACCATACCATGTCTATGGCTGCTGACCTCAACAGGCTTGTACCTGTGCCTGGCCATCCTGTTTTCTCATATGCCTGCTCTCCCAACAACTGCAGCTCTCCTGTCCCCGGGGCCATCACAGAGAGAACAGGACATCAGATGCTACATCCCAAATCGCCCTGTCTTCAGCTCTTCAAGCCCGTCTGACTGCCCCTAGCTCCTCAGGCCTGTGCCCTACCTGTTCAGAGACCTCCCTGAGCCCACTCCATGGTGTCCCATCCCTGCCCTGCACCCCACTCCCTCCACTGGCTTCCTTTGGGTTTTCTCACCTTGTACAGACCTTTTGCTCCACATGTCCTCTGGGCTCTTTGGTCCTCATGCACCTTCCAGAAGGACTTCCTTAGACTCACAGCTGCTTTTCCCTTATTCTTCCAACTGCTTTGACCTAACTTCTGACCCCAGCTGTCCTCTGATACTGCCACAGACCCAGACTCTGTCGCCACAAAGCCACAGGACTTTTCTAGTTCATTTCTGCTTTAAGAGACTGTTCAGACTAAAAAACTGCTGAGTGCCCCATCCTTGACAAGTTCTGCCCTTGGTCTCATTGGTGCCTCCAACTTGGGCCTTCCTACCTTCCTTTATGGTTCCCCTTTTTTCTTTAGAGACAGGGTCTTACTATGTTGTCCAGGCTGGTCTCAAATTCTTGGGTTCAAGTGATCCTCCTTCCTGAGCGTCTTAGACACCTGGGACTACAGGCACACTGCTGCACCTGGCTTGGGCTCTCTTTTATCTGATGCCCAAGGACCCTCCCACTTTCAGGTCTTGGTGACATCGTCTTCTCACTTCACATACTCTGGCAGTTCCAGCCACTCCTGGGGTCCTGGGAGACCCCCCAGGTCCTCACTACTCACAGATCTGCTTGTCCAGCCTGGGCTTCTTTCTGAGCTTGCAGAGTGCAGACCTACCGGTCTCATGGCACCTTTGCCTGCCTTGGAACCTGCAAACAAATTGTTCTCTCCAATTTATCAAAATAGAAAAAACCCGTTTCCCCTGCCCCCTCAGTATGTTTGCCCTCCATCTCTTCTGTTTCAGGCTCTCTTTTATTGAAGTAAAATTAATAATTTTAGCCATTTTACAATTTGGTGTCTTTTATAGTGTATTCACGGTGAACACAGTGCCACCATTGTCACTGATTTCAGAGCATTTTCACCCTAAAAAGAACCCCTTAAGCAGCCGCCCCTCTTCCCCCATCCCTATCCTCGACAACCACTAAGCTGCTTTCTGTTTCTGTGGATTTGCCTGTTCAGGACATTGCAGACAGAGATTACAGGACACATGACCTTTTGTGTCTAGCTTCTCTTGTTCTTTATGCAGCAAGTACTTCTTGCTTGCTGTGGCCAAGATAGTAAAAGGTTGTTCTTTTCTGTTAAGATACAGATGACAGCTGTAATTAACTGAGACAAGATCAGTTTGATGTCTGAGAGCCAAGAGGCCATCTCCTCCCCATGGTGTTTACAAGTTTTGTGATGCGTGGATAAACATCACATGCAGGCAGCGGCCATCTGCCTGGTTCCCAGCACAGGCTGGACAGAACAGAGAAATGAGGCCTGCTTTGTGGTGGAGGGTAGGGGTGGAGGGTGGGCCGGAGCTGGGCTTTGGGAGGGCTGGGCCAGACTTTGGCCCCTGACTCTTTCTGCTTGTCCCTGCAGGCAGAGTGTCTCTGGCCCAGTTCACCCTGGCCTTCGTGATGGACACGTGTGTAGCAGGTGCGCTGCTGTGTGGGGCTGGGCTGCTCTTCCATGGGATGCTGCTGTTGCGGGGCCAGACCACGTGGGAATGGGCTCGAGGCCAGCATTCCTATGACCTGGGCCCCTGCCACAACCTGCAGGCAGCTCTGGGGCCCCGTTGGGCTCTTGTCTGGCTCTGGCCCTTCCTGGCCTCCCCACTGCCTGGGGATGGGATCACCTTTCACACCACAGCTGATGTGGGACTCATGGCTTCTTGACTTCAGTGGGAGTTAGAACTGAAGTGGGCAGAAGGGAGCAGGAGGTGGGCTGATAACTCCTTCGTTTCTGGCCCTTAAAGTCAGCAGTGGGTAACCTCAACCCCTTCCTTGGCTTTGCTCCTGCCCAGCCTGGACACCCTGCCCAGGGCTCGGGCCACTCCATCTCTGCCTCTTTGGGAAGATGGTTGCAGAGATGGGTCTGGCAAGAGGCTGCCCAGGATGCTTGGCTGCCTCTCTGCCAGGCTAATAAGATACCCACCTGGTCCTTGACCTCCCTCCATCTTTGCTGGATTTCTGGTCCCTCACTTTGTTACCCTGGCTGCTGTTTCTGGTTCCTCTGACTGTCATGCCTGAAAATCACCAAAAAACTAGGTGTCTGAGGGGCCTAGGTGTCCTTTCTCCTTGGTGGGGTAGGGGTGGTAGAATCTAAACATGTTTTCCAGGATCAGCACATAATATTTCAGGCCATTTCTGCAACAGCAGTTTCATGAAAGCTCTTGGCTGGGACATAGCTCAGTGGCTGGGTTCTTGTTCTGTGTGTAAAGCTGTTGGTTGCCATGACAAGTCAATGGGGTAGTAAATGGAGGAAGCAGAATGGGAACCCAGGTCTTTGTACTGTTGCCTTCACCCTTGCACAGCCAAAGGAAGTGAGTGGGAGAAAAATCTAGGCAAAGAATCAGCTGGAGTGTTACTGCCCATGAAGGGTGACCTGAGGGCACAGGCCTGTGCTGCTCGGTGGCCTCTTGGGAGCTGCTCGTTAATGTGGTAGCTTCAACACACAAGCTGATCAATGTTTACTGACAGAGTATCACTAAGATGATAGTAAAGAAATAAAAAGAAGATAAGTTTACAAGGTGGAAACAGACAGATGGTAGTAGACCAAAGAATCTGACATTTTGAAAGATGGAAGGTGGTTGGAGGCTTGTTCACTGTCTTATGCAGAGAACTAGAAATCGAAATTACGTTTTCCCAAAGGGAGGGGTGGAGAGGCAAGCCAAATGCCCCCAAAGCCCTGGTGGGGTTCAAGAATTCACCAGAACGATGGAAGGTGAGGTGAGGCTTTGGGCCAACAGTGGAGATCAATGCCAAGTCAGTATCAGGAGCTGCTGGGTGCCCTCCCTGCCAGCCCCATCCACCCCTTGCAGCCACATGCTACCCTGCTGGGGTGGGTTATTTGCAGGAGAAACTAGAACAGAGAAGCTCTGATCTCTGGAGCACTAGGGGTGGGAAGGAGGGGAGGAGGGCTGGACCAAAAGTCCACAGATAATGCTGGGGTCCTCCTATGACATGGCAGGTCCTCCCTGGACCCCCAGAAGAGTCCACTGCCTGACAGCCTTTGCCTGTGCCCACAGTGGTCATTGCTTTGCTCAGGAGGCATGTTCTGTTGCTACTTTGTAAAAGAGTTTAGGAGCCTGGTGTGCCTGGCATTCTGTGCTGAACTTAAAACATTGGCAGATCTGCCTTTCCTCCTCTGCATCTCATTCCTCACCCTCCAGAATATCTGGTTTTCATGTTTTTACTTAATAGTGAGGAAATGCAAGAGCATATTTATATAGCACCCCACATACCTGTCAGAGAAAAAAAAATCACTATTTCCTTCTTAGTCCCCTTCCTGGGGGGCGGGGGTGGACACAGGGTCCTGTCTTGATCATTCCTTGCTTGGCTTTTTAGTTACATGTTTTTGAATTTTACATGACTTGCCTTTCTCTCAATATTATGTTTCTGAGATGTATCTAAACTGTTGCATGTAGCTGTGGGATGCCCTCTTTCCTTGTTGCATAGTGATCTTCTGAATGCCATGACTAATTTTTGTATTTTATTCCACTGGCCATTTTATCTACCCTGTGTCCTTTGGGAGTCATCCACCAAGAGCCCTTGTCCTCCCTTAGAAAGCTTAGAATCAGATTGTCAAGTTAAATCAGTAAATACCTCTTTGAGATCATGAATGGAACTCCACTAACTGTATAGATCAGTTTGGGGAAAACTGGTGGCTATATAAAATTGAATTTTCCAGTTTGTGAATATGGTGTATCGCTTCATTGGATGTTTAAAATAAACTTATACTTTTTCTCACAAAGATGTATTTTTTGTTGCATTTATTTTTTCTTTATTTTTATGTGGTGCTGAGGATCAAACTCAGTGCCTCACAAGTGCAAAGCAAACGCTCTACTACTGAGCCACAACCCCAGTCCTCCCTAACCCTTGTTTATATTTTATCTAGAGGCAGTGCCTCACTAAGATGCTGAGGCTGGTTTTGAACTCACAGTCCTGCTGCATCAACCTCTCAAGTTGCTAGGATTATACATACCTTTTTTGTGTGTGTGCGTGCTGGGGACTGAACCCAGGGCCTTATGCACGCAAGGCAAGCACTCTACCAACTGAGCTATATCCCCAGCCCTGGATTATACCTTTTGTAGTATTTTATTTAAAGTTTTTTTGCTGCAGTAAAAATCTACACTAATAGTTATTCCAATATATTTTAGATATTATTCTGTTGTCTCTTAGTCTCAATTGTTGTTGTTAAATAAGTTATCTATTTTTTGGTTATTGTTATTCCTTTGAAGAATTTCTTTCTTTTTTAAGTACTGGGGATTGAACCCAGGTGTGCTCCACCTCTGAGTCATATCTCTGGCCCTTTTTAAAAATTCATTTGAGACAGGATCTCTAAGTGCTGGCCTTGAATTTGTGATCTTCCTGCCTCAGTCTTCCCAGTGGCTGGGATAACAGATAAGGGTTGTGCCTGGCTCCAATTGCTTTTTACTGGGGATTGAACTCAGGGGCACTGACCACCGAGCCACATCCCCAGCCTTATTTTGTTTTTTATTTAGAGACAGGGTCCCACTGCATTTCGCAGCACCTCGCTTTTGCTGAGGCTGGCTTTGAAGCTGTGATCTTCCTAACTCAGCCTCTTGAGCCATCACAATTGGCTCCAATTGCTTTTTTGTTGTTGTTTTTTTGTCTTCTGAGGTTTTACTGTGATGTGCCCATGTGTTAATTTTTTCATTTGTCCAAATGAGAGTTGTTAGCCGGGCATGGTGGAGCATGCTTGTAATCCCAGCAGCTTGGGAGGCTGAGGCAGGATGACTGCGATTTCAAAGCCAGCCTCAGCAACAGCGAGGCACTAAGCAACTCCGTGAGACCCTGTCTAAATAAAAACAAAATAGGGCTGGGGATGTGGCACAGTGACCCTGAGTCCAATCCCCTGTACCAAAAGAGTTGTTGGGTTTTCTAATTCTATGAATTGGTCATTCATCAGTTCCACAACCTTCTCAGTCGTTACATCCTCAGATATTTTCTGTCCCTATTGGAACTCTTATCAGACCTCCCTACTCCATCCTTCTGATTTCTTAATAACTCATATTTTCCTTTTTTCTGGACATCCTGGAGAATCTCTAGAGAACTGTCTTATAGGTAAGTCTGTCTTCAGCTGCTAAATCAGTCTATTGATTTTTTTTGTTGTTTAAGAGACAAGGCCTTATTATGTTGTTCAGGCAATTAAGAGATCTTTCTCTGGCTTCATTTTCTAGAGAAGCTGGGACTACAACCTTGCACAACTGCACCTGGCTGTTATTTTTTTTTTCCATAAAGTGGTTGTAACAATTCATCCACTGAGTTTTACATATGGAATAATTTTTCATTTTTTGAAGTTCTACTTGGTTCTTTTTTAAATCACCTTGTTCATTTTATATATTCTTTTGCTTTCTGTTCCAAGTTTAGGGATTTTTTTTTCTTTTAAGTGCATTGAAAACAAAGACATAAAGAAAAAAATTAAAACATTTTATATCCCTATACCTTAAGTCTTGGCAGGTTTCTCTGGCTATTGCTTATGCTGGTTCTTGGTCAATGATGTCTCATGCCCTTACAATTTTCTTTTGACTATAAGTTCCTATATCTTGGATTTTTTTTTAATATTTAGTTGTAGATGGACACAATGCCTTTATTTTTATGTGGTGCTGAGGATTGAACCCAGGGCCTCACACATGCTAGGCAAGCCCTCTACCACTGAACCACAGCCACAGCCCTATTTTTTGGAATTTTATCAGTGGGATTTGTTCTGAGGTTTGGTTAAACATAAATTCCTCCAGAGAAGAAATGTGTTTGTTAGTTGCCAGATGACCAGTCCTACACAACTTTAAATTTTTAGTTAGTATTCTTAGTACAACCCAAGTATTGTCAATCCACGTTGCAAACTCTTTTTCAGAGGCTACTTTGGGGTTAAAAAATTCAGGAGTGGCTGGGAGTGTAACTCAGAGGTAGAGCACTTGCCTAGCATGCTCAAGGCCACAGATTGCATCCCACTACCAAATTCTCAGAGGAGGTTTTCCTATACCTTCCTACCCAGCTTGGAAACAGGCATTTTCCCTTGCTGATTCTGGCATGAGGAAGGAGAGGGTGGTTAATTTGTAGATTATTCTGAGCATGTGAGCTCAAGAGAAACCCCCCAAAAAACTGAAACTCGGGAAATGCTGATAAAATACTATAGATAATTTCAGAGAGAGAAAAGAAAATTCATCTTTGAAAAGATACCAAGGTTGTGGGCTGGGTGTGGCTCAGTTACCTAGCATGCATGAGGTCCTGTGTTCAATCCCCAGCACTGGGTGGGGCGGGGGGAGCCACAGTCAGGACTAAATGGAAAACAAAGAATTGAGAATTAAGGCAACAAACATTTTGAAAAATTCAGAGAAGACAACAAAGCTCTCAGAAAACAAAACAATAGTCTGAGAATAGAGAAGAAATTCAGGCTCAATCCTGTCCTCTCTGGGATGATCATTTATCAGATGCTGGGCTTAACTGTCATTCCAGAGAGAACAGAGAAATCGAGGGGAGGAAATCACCCATGGTACAGCAGTAATACAATTTCCTGGAACAAAAGATGCACATCTATCTCCACTCAGTGGCAAAACAAACAATAAGGACAGGATGAGGTATGTCATGACATTCAGAATCTCAGAGGAAAAGACAACTAGGAGGAGAATGGCATGGAAGCTAGAATACAGGAGCACTGCCTGTAGGAAGGTGACCTCCAACTGAGGATTCTGTGATCCAGCCGAATTATCACATGTGCATTAAAGAAAGAAATGTTTAGACAGGCATTGAATTATAAATTTTAACTCCAGTGACTTTTTAAAGAAGGTACCCATGGATACATTCCACCAAATGAGGGTGAACTAAGAAGACATGGACCCCTGGAGTCAGGAATTTAGCCCTGGAGAGGGGCAAAGTGAATTCTCCTGGAGAGCAAAGAGTCCTCTGGGAAGGAAGAGAAGTGTACAAAAGAAAGAGGAATCATCAGACTGGCTGGAGAAGAATTAGCAATTGGTATATTAGAAAGCTAAGCAAATTAAAAAGAAAAAAGGGCAACTACTAATTCTATGAAAAATAAAAAAAAGTTTCAAAAAAGGCGATTTATAGCCCCAATTTTTTTTCCCAGTGCTGGGGTATTAGCCCAAATTTTGGCTTTGCAGTGAATGATTTTCACATGGTAATATAAATGGCAATCTTGATAGTGAGTATTGATTTGCCTAAAAACTAAAGATGAAGGAGAGGTGCTGTCTCAAGAGAGCTAAATACTCATCTGCTACAATAGGGAGTCAACAGGTAGTGTCTGAGATTGATAAATCAATCAAGAATAGTACAAGCATATTTTAAAAATAATTGAAGTTGGGGCTCACTTGCCTGGCATATGTAAAGTACTGGGTTTGATTCTCGGCACCATACACAAATAAAATAAAGGTCTATCAACAATTATATATATATATATATAAAATTGAAGTGATTGTTGCTGGGGGCAGTTCAAGAGAATGAGAGGCTATTTTCTTGTTATAAACTGCCTAACTCCATATTACTAAGTGGAGACATGTTTTAAAATAAATATTAAGAAAGAAGACATAAACTTTGCCTATCCCTAATGTACACAATTTTCCTGGAGCCCTTGCTAGTGTGTACACTGGGGACCATACACTGTTTCTTGCTTTATGTTGCTTTATGTGCACTTGTCCAGATGGTAGACTTTATATATTTACACACACACACACACACACGTGTGTGTGTGTGTGTGTGTGTGTGTATATATATATATATATATGTATATAAATTTTTAAAAAATATTTATTTTTTTAGTTTTAGGTGGACACAATATCTTTATTTTATTTTTATGTGGTGTTAAGGATCGAACACAGTGCTTTGTGCATGCCAGGCAGGCGCGCTACCACTTGAGCTACATCCCCAGCCTATATATATAAAATTTGTTTTGTTTTCTTTTTTGCAGTACTAGGGATTGAACTCAGTGCCTCACACACTTTAGGCAAGGGCCCTACCATTGAGCTGCATTCCTAGTCTTTTTTTTTTTTTTTTTTTTTTTGAGACAGGACTAAGTAGCCCAGGCAGGCCTTGAATTTGTTATTCTGCCATAGTTTCCTGAGTCATACAGGCATAGGCCATAGTACTTGGTTCCATATATTTCTTTTTTCTTTTTTAAATTGTTTTTTTTAGGCAAATTTTAAATTGTTTTTAGACAAATACCTTTATTTTATTCATTTATTTTTATGTGGTACAGAGGATTGAACCCAGTGCCACACACGTGCTAGGCAAGTCTCTGTCACTGAGCTGCAGCCCAGCCCCCTGTTCCATATATTTCTCTCTCTCTCTTTTTAAACCTTTATTTATTTATATGCCATGCTGAGAATCGAACCCAGGGCATTACACGTGTTAGGCAAGTGCTCTACCACTGAGCCACATCCCCAGACCCCCACATATTTAATAGGATAGTATTATAAAACTCACATCAGGTGCCAAACAGGTCTCTCCTTTCATCATAATGAACAGATATGAAAAAAAAAAAAACAGATCAGATATTTTTGTTTTGAGTTCACACAGTTCGTAGTGTAGTTCACAGTATGACCTGGGTAAAAGGGACTATAAGGTCTTCTGGCCAATGCATGACTCTGCCCCATGACAGCCCACACCCCGTGCACACAGCTCCAATGATGGGCTCATTACCCCCTTGGACAGGCCCTTCCACCTCCAGGTTCTGCAGGTTGAGACTAGAGTGACAGTGACACCCTCCGTTCCACATCTTTTCATTTCTTTACCTCTGCTATTTCCACTGTGCCTCAGCTGGCTTGATCTAGAAACCCTTCACCATCCTGACCAGGTGGTCTGCTGGGCAGTGGGGAGAAGGGAGAAGGCTCTTTCTTTGGCCCAAACCGGTGGCCTCTTAACCTGGCTCCAGATGCATTCCTTGGAAGGGCGGGGTCCACCCTGTGTCTTGGGCAGAGAGGCAGACAGTGGCAACCAGTTTGAAGTCCTTGTTCTTCTCTTTTTTTGTGGGGGGGGGGTACTCAGGATTGAACCCAGGGTGCATAAACTGTGTCACATCCCCAGCCCTTTATCATTTTGAGACAAAGTCTCACCAAGTTGCTAAGGCTGGCCTTGAACTTGTGATCTTCCTGCCTCAGCCTCCCAAGTTGCTGGGATTACAGGTGTGGGCCACCATGCCTGGTAGAGACCTTGGACTTGAGGGCAAAAGCTGTGCAGTTGTTCCTGTCCAATATCACTTTTCTGGGCCAACTCCTCCTTTCTGCCAGAGGCGGTGCAAAGCCCATGGGGTGTCAGAGCTAAAAACAGTTCAGAAACTGCCTCATTTTACATGAGGGGAGACCAGAAACACAGAGGAATCTTGTTACTTCCTGCAAGCCTGAGCTGTGGCCACACCTGGTCAGAAGGGGAAAGATGTAGGTTCCCAAGAGCAAGGCTGCTGGCTCCCAGGTGACTCCTGTGGCCTGTGAGGAGCACTGGCAAGACTGCCCAGGGACTCAGCAGGCATGAGGGGCTTGAGGGTTCTGAGCATTTAGATCTAAATTGAGCCTTTGCTTAATCTCCAGCCTCACTTCTGTGCCAGCCAATTCTCTTGCTCTGGCTGCTGCCCAGGGAACTTTCCACCCTCAGGGCTGATTTGGACTCCCAGGCACAGAAGGGCAGTCTGATGGGCACTTTAGGGCTTCTGTCTCCCCAGCCCTTCCCCTAATCCCAGAAATGCCTCTTCTGGTGCTGCCTGCCTCTGCTCTACCTAATTCCACTTTCCTTTCCACAGATGCTCTTTCTGAGCAGGAGCACCCAGGTCAGAAGCAGATGCTGTGTGGTCTCTGGGAGTGCACATGGGCACCCTCTGCCCTCCTGTGCCACTTCTTCCTCTGGCAACCTGCTGGTGGGGTTCTTGGAGCCCTGAGGTGGTGGCAGGGTCCAAGCGTTTGTAAAGGTGCCCTATGGGGAGATGGCTATTCCTTCGGTGGGTTGCTGAACAGAAAGTGGAACCCCAGGCTGACAGGGGGCTCAGTCTCACCCAAGAAAAGCCTCTGACTTCTCAGGCCAGGCTCTCATCCAATTCTGGCCTTGGCCTGCTGCAGGAGGTGAGTGGGGTGCCAGAAGGAAGTGGAAAAGAAAAACAGTCAGTGTCCTTTTTTCATCTCGACAGCTCAGAACTCTTCCTTGGGACTGAGTGAGGTTTCTGGGAAGTATTGGGAGGCAGTGGGCAGCAGAAGCTGCCTCTGGAACAATACCAGGGCATGTTCTGAGAGAGGAGCCAGGCCTTCTTATACTCACTGGCTGCTGCTATAGCCCCATGGCAGGAGTGTTGAGCAGGGGGTGCTCAGGAGAGGAGTGAGAAGCTGGCGCCTCAGCACACTGCTGCATGGGGAGTGGCCCAACCCGCCCAGCTCAGTGAAAGTGGCTGATGGATCTTGCTGACTCCATTCGGCAGGAGCCTGAACACTGGCCCAGGGCTCAGGCAGCTTCCAGCCCCTCACTCACAGGCATGTTGATGTAGGCACTCAGCAGGGGTGCACTCTGGCCTTCCCGGAGCACCAGTACCTATGGAGGAGGTGCCATGGAGTTGGGGCATACACCTGGACCCCTGCTCTCTGTTCGCTTCAAAGGCCAAGCCTGCTTGTCTGCACTGACCACTAGGGCTCTGCTGAAGGGATAGGGAGGCGGGGAGGCCTCAACTGTGCAGTTACCATAGCTCCACCCTGCAGCCCCTGAGGGCCTTGTCCATACTCACCCTTACTGACCTCCCCACGGTCCCACCTTCCAAGAAGTACCAGTGGATGGTTTACCTTGATGATGTCTGAGATGCCCTTGTTACTGAGACTCTCCACAAAGGTCTCCAGCGGGTAGCTGAGCCCTGGCACCAGCAAGGGGACCTAGGTTTGGAGACAGAGAATGCCCAGCTACTAGTTGGCAGATCACAAAATGTGCTTGTGCCTGCCATCAGCTGTGTCTCAGGATTCCTCAGGGTGGGCCAGGCCATGGTGCAGTGCTGGGAAGCCAATGCTCCAGGGCCACATGATGGGTCTGTGGTTAAACCTAGATTCCTACCAAGGCCAGGGCTGTTTCTTCTACATTCCAGAGTTTTAAGTTTCTTCTCCTTCTAACCTGGGCTGTGGGGGAAAAGCAGACCCTTTGCTCTGTGATGACACACTCTGGAGTAGAGACGATCCCTTTGGTAGCAGGAGCAGCTGGGAAGCAGGGTGGGGCTTCTTGGCCACCAACAATGTTGGACAGGTAGGTAGGACTCAGGCTCTGCTATTCCCTACCACCCAGGCCTGTTAGACTGGGAAAAAGGTGGCAAAGGCAAGGCCTGGTGCTCCTTCCAGATGCCCACCTGGTGTCTGGCTGAGTTGGTCTGTTGGCCACCTACTAGCCACTGGCCATTCCCTTACCTTGACCTACTGGGGACTGGTGAGCATCTAATCAAGATCCTGCCCTAACCTATTGAACCCCATGACTCAGGGCGGGTTGTGGGCGGGGTTAAGGGGAGATCTAGTACCTTGAAGAAGGCCCGAGGCAGGGCATAGAGTGCCTCGTTGTACAGGAAGCAGATCAGCAGCCCTGTCACAGGGCGGACTGTTGAGGTGTTCTGCAGATGAAGTGTGAGCTTGAAGGTGGGCCCCAGGCCCTGGACCTGTGGGGATGGGTGGAAAAGGCCCTCAGGACCGAGGGCCTTGGGCACTGAATCCAGGAGCCTGGCCCTGTCTGCTTCTTCATCAGTGTCCTCAAGTTACCCCAACAACTGCTCTCGTGCTTTATCTATCTGCCTTCATCAAAATGCACAGAAGAAGACGGGGCTGCAGAGGCCTGGAGAGGAGAGGGCCTCGATGAGACCACCTAGCAAGTTGGAGGCAAAGCCAGCCAGGCTCATGGCCCAGCTCCCTCCTGTCTTTACTGCTGCTCCTGCCCGCTCCCCAGGCCTGTTCTACCTCCCACCCTTGTCCTGGTAAATGAGATTTTCTCCCTCGCACCCTGAGTTCCTCTGTCACCCCTTCCTCCTCTATATCTATCCACTCTCTTTAGGAACTAAGTGAATAGAAACCTGGGTAGAGCAGACAATACACATAGGGACCAACTGAGAGCTGGCTGCAGCCTTGTGGTCACTCAAATTTGGGCATGTGTGGGCTTCTCCTCCCTCACACCCAGGCATACTGCCTATGGCCAGACCAGGCTGGCCCTTCCCTGTACCAGGCGGTCCTATGGCTACTGAAGCAAACAGTGTTCTACTCTATGCCATTAGATCCCTTGAGGCTCCTGGGAAGAAATGTTCCAAGGTGACACTCTGTGCTCCCTGTCCCATGTCTAGGAGCACAACACAGAACCAGGGGGCTGAAGAGGAAGTCTCCTTCTGTGGCCAGCCATAGAAGAGGGCAGTACAAGAAGCAAGATGGTGAAGGCAGCTCTCCCAGGAGGATACAGAGGGAGAAAGGGAGCCTGGGGCTTACTCCATGGCATTGGCTCTGGAGGCTTAACTGGGTGGCCCTCCTGACCTCTGCCCTCTGGCCCTGATGCGCCCACACCTGGGTGCTCACCACAGCATGCAGCTTGAGTGGTTCCCAGGCTGTGGCCGACACGGGGCTCAGGCTGGACTCAAGGGCCTGCACGTAGGCGCGGGCTGCCCGGAGGCGCAGCAGGTAGAGGTCTGTCTGGAAGCTCCGGTGCATGGCTATGAAGAGGATATGAAGGCTGAGGCTGGAGGGAGGCTGCTGTGGGGAGGGTGTGAGATAGATGCAGTGGGCAGGACCTGCAGAGGCTGGGAATGTGGGACAGGAAGGACTGAGGCCAAGCCCAGCCTTTTGGTGACCCAGCTGTGGACTATGCCCTAATTCCTCTCCATTGGTTCTCCCACCACCTTGCTGTCTGCACATCTTAGTCTCCTTCTGTTCAGCTCTAAAGGCTAGTGTTTCCTGGATTCTGGGCCTTGGCTCATTCTCTTACTTTCCTTTGTCCCCTGGACAACCCAGGGCCTGTCTTGGCTCTGACCATCCCAAAGTGCAACAGCTGCTGGCCCCTATGAACTGAGACCTTGTTATTCCCATGTCCCTCCACATTGTGTGTTGTCTCCAACAGCATCTGGGCATCTAGGCCTGCAGCTGCTTAACTGCCCCATGGTCATCTCTCCCTGGGTGCCTATAACACCTCAAGTTCAACACTGTGGAAGCCAGCCTCACTATCCTCCCCGAGTTACTGCATCACCGTCCCCCAGGCCACCTTGATTTACCCCTCACCCTAACCCTTTGGTAAGAGCAGGTAATTAACTCTTCCTCAGCTTGCCCCCAGAGTCCCCCGTCCCTGCTCCTGCCAGTCCTCCTCTGTCCAGACCCAACATCTTGGTCTGTTTTTGCTTTTCTCTTTTGTGTGAGGTGCCTTTTGCCATTTGGAAGTTTTGCATCTTTATGTTATCCCACTTATTCATCTTTCCTTTTTCCTCTAGTACTTTTTCAATTTATTTATTTATTCATTTATTTATTTTTTAGTTTTAGGTTGACACAATATCTTTATTTTATCTTTATGTGGTGTTGAGAATTGAACACAGTGCCTCACGCATGCCAGGCGAGTGTGCTACCACTTGAGCCACATCCCCAGTTCACAATTTATTTATTTTAAACTTTTTTTTTTTTTTTTTTTTTTGGGATTGATGGACCTTTATTTTATTCATTTATTTATACCTGGTGTTGAGACTCAAGCCCAGTGCCTCTCACAAGTGAGGCAAGCACTCTACTACTGAGCCACAACCCCAGCCCCAATTTATTTTTAACCTAACCAGAATTAACTTTTGTGTTTCATATAATTCCCTTAGAAGCAAGTTTTCCTACTTGTACTTTGTTTTTTTAAGAAACAGGGTCTCTATATGCGGTCCAGGCTGGCCTCTAATTCCTGGGCTCAAGCAATCCTCCCACCTTGGCCTCCAGAGTAGCTGGGACTTTGTGTATGTGCTGTGCCTAACTCTAATCATGGTGTTTGTACAGTTGTGCCTTTCCCCACTAATCTGAAATGACACCTTTAACACATACTGACTTGCCACACCACACATACAAGGCCTTTTCTGAACTTCCAGAATGTTCCTAAATGTCTCCTTCCACATCAGCACCATCAACTCCTATAGTTTTGTAGTTGATTTGCAATCTTATAGGGTAAGTTCCTTCATTTTTATCCCCCCAAAGTTCTCAGATTTACTCTTAGAATCAAATGATCAAGTCCTTAAAATGAACCCCATGGGAATTTTTTCTGTAACTCTGCTATTTCTAGATTAATTCTAGAAGGATTGACAGTTTTACCAGTGTGTCTTCCACCCTGAGATTTGGTGAGTCTATCCATTCAGGTGGCCTCTCATGTTTTTGAAGACAGTTTTATAATTTTCTTTATTAGGCTTTGTACATTTTCTTGTAACATTTGTTTCTAGGGATTTCTTTACTATTTTAAATGGAAACTTTTTCCATTATGTTTGCCAATTGGATATTATTGGTATATACAAAAGATTGTGATTTTTAAATACTTCACATCTGGTTACCTTTCACAACTCCCTACTTATGTTTCTGCTACATTATCACTTACATGTTCTAGGTTATAAAAGCCTGCTCTTTTCTCTATCCTCCATTTTGTCCTTCAAACTGAGACCAAGATCCCTTTAAAAAACTTAGCAGGAAGAGTTACTGCTCTTTTTTACTTGACCTCTTTGCCAGTTCCCCATGCCCTAAACACACATTTGAATGTAGTTTTGCATTCCTGGCCCTTTGGGAACTGGCTCCAACCTGCCTCCCCAGCTACCCGTGGCCACTCGGCCTCCTGGCCTTACAGCTACATGGCAGATGCTGTCTTAAATCCAGGTCAGAGCCCTGAGCTTCTATCCCAGACTCTGCCTAAATTGCCTTTCCCTTCCCACTGTCTGGTGGACTTGTAATTATCTTTTGGCATTAAGTCAATGTCACCTCTCTCTAAAGGTTTTATTGTTTCCCAGGCAAATATTTCTTATTGCCTTATGTGTGTCAACAGCGCACAGAAACTCCTATTCCTGTCATACAACATGAAGTCTCCTTATGTAGGACTAGCCTACTTTAAGGAACCTGGCACAAGGCTTGGCATGATCCTGTAATGAAAGAATGAAAAGGGAAAGTTGAACAAGCAGAAAATCTCATTAGTTTCTACTCTGAGAATACTTGCAGCTAGAAGTGACCGCTGGCCCTCCAACTTTTAAAGGCACCTATCCCTTAAGCAACGATGATATGTAGGTAGGTGCACCTCCCATGCTGTTCCTGACTTGTAGAGGTATGAGACTTGTTGGGTTGGCAGAGGTCCCCCTGACTGCCTAGGGTACCTGAGAACCATCCACCCACTTTTTGCTGTTGGGAACAATGGAGGAGGAGAAAGAGGGGGAGTCTTACCAGTGCCAGCCTCCCGTTCTCTCAGTGTCTGATCCACGTAGAGCCGAGTCTTTCGGGGCACATTAAGTTTTGTGGCTTGGGCTGGTGGGGGGCCCACCTCGCCTGTGCTCTCCACAAACACTGCTGTGCGCTTCAGGATCTTAATTATCAGGCCACCACCTAAGGAAGTGAACAGACAGAAACCGATCTGTCCTTCCCAGTTCTATTCGACATTCCCATTCTCTCTGCCCAAAACAACCAACTTAATAGAGAGCCATTTCTATACAGGTCTGTCTTTCTGACAAGACTCTGGAAGGAATGCAATATGTCTCAATAGTGTTCTACCATTAATTCACCCAGCAGCTCCTTGTGGAGTACTGAGACATTCCTAGCACTGTGGCAGGTACTACAATACTTGCTGTGGAGACCCGACCCGACCCAAGCCTGGCCTCTGGGCAGCAGCATCCAAGTACTAATAAGCTGTCTGAATGGCAACTCAGACCCTGACAGGATGTGTCTGCAGGCCCATCTTTCCATACTTGGGTCTGTTTGTGTTTCACCTCCTTCTCTCCTCTTTCTCCAGCCTGTCCCCTTCATTCCAATGCCAATGCCAATGTCCTTGACAGAACTGAGTCTTCTCACCTCGAGTAGTCATGACAAGGGTGTTGTCCTCCCGCCCATAGCGGCCAAAACAAAGGCTGGTCACTGCATCCTACATGGGAACATCAGAGTTAAGCTGAGGAACATCTTGGAGAGAAAAGCAAGATGGAGAAGATGAGGAAAACCCTGGATAAAACAGGTGAGAGGTGAGGAGAGGCCTGGGGGCAATGCTGCCACCAAAATACTTATTTCCCATCTCCTCTCCAACCTCACTGCCATGGCCACAGTTCCAGACCAAACACCACTGGCCCTGACTTCTGGGGTAGTCTCCTAATCAGTCCTCCAGCCTATTGTTGACCCCACTCTGTCCTTCGTAATGCTGTGTCTGTTGCGCTTGTGAAAACCAACCTCCAATGGCTTATGTCCTGTCCTCCTTATCAGAACACTTAGGCCTTTGACATCAGACTCCAACCTGCCTCATCCACCAGTTTTCTCCTCTGTACTTCTCCCAGCCACCTGCCCTCACAGCACCTGAAGGCCCAAACCTGTTGCTTTCAGATTTTACAGTGAGACCCAGGATAATTTATACCCACACATAATGGTTTCACATGTGATACACTCTGAAATTTCTATCCTATTTTTTAAAATGTTGCTGATTGTAATCCACTAAATTGATTTAATGACTCATGAGAGTATAAAAATCTCTGTTCCAAACCCCATCAAACCGCCTGGATTCTTCCATCAGAGTGCTTCATGACTCTCAACCTTTGTTCATGATGCCCCGTCTGGAATATTCTCCCTCCATTTGTCAACTTAGCAAACTAATTTACCAGGTGAGTGGCCATTTGCTCTGTGAAGTGTCCCATGAGTTTTGTCCTGTCTACCTTTCCCCTTCCTTCCCCTGGTCACTGGCCCCCTCTCTGCTTTTCCAGCCTTTGCTCTGCTGCAGGCCGCCTTGTGTGTTCACATGCTGCGTCTGGAGTGCTGGTTGTTCCCGTAGGTTGTGAGCTCCCTGAAAACATCATTTCACACCCCCCCACCCTAAATGGTGACTTGTACATATAAAGTGCTTGAAAAATGTTTCTGAAATGCTTCATATACGGTCAGGAGAGGCAGCTAAAAATATTCACAAGTGAGATTGGGGCAAGGAGGGATCAATAACAGACGCTGAAGCCAGGGTGGGACTCACCGGGGTGCGGATGATGTTGAGCAGAGCCTTGTCACGGTAAATACGGACCTCTCCATTGGCCAGCCCTGCCATGACAGCCTGCAGACCCCGGGAACGCTGCTCTAGGAGGTTCATGGTCAGGATGGCGGCAGGCATCTGCACAGTCCACAATTTCTTACCCTGGCAGGGAACACAGAGTCTTCGGAGGCTCAGGGATTGGAGTAGGAAGAAGAAGTGGCTTGAAGTTGTGGGGAAGGAGAAGCCAGGAGGTCTTTCCAGCCAGGGGGACTGGGGTGGACATGTGTGAAAGGGCTGGGGCTTGCCAGAGGCCACACCTTGTGAGTAAAGCCGTGTAGACTATCTTGGGTGCTGCCCACCACCAGGATCTTGTGTACCCGGACAAGCCCCACAGGCTGGGAACTCAGCTCAATGCAGTACTTGGGGCGCTTGGAGTCTCTGTGGAGTAAAGACACATTTATACTGCCCCAGAGAAAGCTCCTCTCCAATCCCTGGCTGACTCTTCTCCTTCTAAGCCCCACAGCCTAACCAGCCTAACCTCAGAGGAACCTTGGCCCCAGAGCAGATGCCCAGGGGATTGTTTCCACCTCTCCTGCGTTAGTAGATGTGTGACTTTGGAAAACATCATGTGAGTTCTCTACCCTGTTCCCTCCTGCCCTTACTCTGGTGACCTATATGATAGCTTGATATTTCACAGAGCTTTCACTGAGCTTATTTTAGACTGTCTAGCCAGTGCTAGTAGACTTGGGCAGTTTACCAATTTATAAGAAAAAGATGTAGAGTTTGCTCTGGGTAGAAGCCAGTTTCCTGTCCTTCCAACCTGCTTCTCTTATCCAGAAAGTGGGGAAAATTCCTGCTTTCAACCACAAGCAAAGTCCTACGTTTCCCTATCACCAAGTCCAAGTCAACATCATGGCCCATCTGAAGACTGGCAGCCCACTGGTCTCTGGGCCTCTTTCTAGTTACTCTCTGGCCAGCAGAGTAATTTTTAATCTTTTTTTTTTTTTTTTGAGATTGGGCCTCACTCTGTTGCCCAGACTGGTCTTGAACTCCTAGACTCAGCCATCTTCCTGTCAAGTAGCCAGGACTCCAGGTACATGCCACCAGGCCCAGTTTTCCTCACATTTTTGAGCAACTGGTTCACACACCCCTGGATGGACATTCCTGATCACCTTAACTATGGTACTTTTTCCCAGTAAGCCTGCATTTTTCCTCCATTACACTCATCCAATTTGGAATATCTTGGTTTGTTGACTTTAACACATGCCTCTTGCATGAAGGAAGGGACCATATTTATAGTGTTTTGTTTATGAGCATAGCCCCAATTCCTTGCACAGTGCTTAATAAATGGTAGGTGCTCAATAAATATTTCAGGAATTTAAAAATGTTGCATGAAATATCAAACTAATGCATAAGGAAGTGTCACATACACTATAAATTGATATAACAAATACAAGAGACTTTCTATTTCCTTGCTTTCTGACTGCATTGCTCACCTATTGTGGCTACCTCACCAGGCTCTTGCTTTTGCCTTGTCTCATAGCCTCCAGATATTCCCTCTGTGCTCATGGGCTCAGTCTCCTTTATAAAACTCTCAGCTCTTTTCATTCCCATATCAGAGACCCCAAGCCCCCTTGTTCATTTGCCAACCCCCTGAGAAAACCAGGTTTCTGCAACATTCCTCTGGCCTGGAGGCCATGGCTACCTTCTCAGGATATAGATGTTCCCATTTCGACAGGCAGCTGCAAGCCGGAACTCTACGTCAAACTGGCCAGAAACCTCCAGGAAGACTGGGACGCTGGGAAGATTCATCTGCAAAGAAGAGGCTCAAACATCCTGCTTTCTCAGAGCCCCAGCCCCTCCCTGGTTTGAAGTAACTCCTTTGAGTCATCTAAAAATCTTCCTTATCTCAAGTAACTCCTTCCTTGTCAAAACTCCCTGTCTCCTCATTTGCTCCCTGCTGGTCACAGGTTAGACTCATACAGTTTTTCTGGAGGGAAACATGGCAATATGTAGCAAAAGTCTTTTAGTCTATCCCTTTGGCTAAACTCTATTGCATCTAGGAATAAAGTTTAGCCAAAGGGCAGTATTTCTACAAGCACCCAAAGATGCTCGGGCAAGGATGTCTACTGCACTGGTGTTCCTAGTAGTGAAAAAAATGAAAGCAACTTAAGTGCCCAACCACAGATGGCAGGTTAAATAAATTAGGCTACTCTAGATAATGGATATGTGTGGCCTTTAAAAAGGCTGATGTGGTTTTAATCATATGACCATATCCTTAATTGATCATATACTTCAATGTGAAAGGAGCTCATTACATGATCCTGTATTATAATCCTGTTTTTTTTAATTTCTTTTTTAAAAATGGGACTGGGAATTGAACCCTGGGATGTTCTCCCACTGAGCTACACCCCTAGCCCTTTCTATATATTATTTTGAGATAAGGTCTCACTAAGTTGCTAAAGCTGGCCTTGAACTTACAATCCTTCTGCCTCAGCCTCCTGAGTTGCTGGGATTATAGGCATGCTCCACCATGCTCAACCATGATCCTGTTTTTTATAAACATGTAAAGTTATATATCTATATCCATATAAGAAACTGTCTCCAACCTGCTTCCTTACCCAGAAAGTGGAGAAAATTCCTGCTTTCCAACCACAGGCAGAAGTATATTTGCCCTCCAAATTTTTTTCTTTCTTTCTTTTTTTGGTACTGGGGATTTAATCCAGGAGTGCTTAACCAACGGAACCATCCCTAGCCCTTTTTAATTTTTATTTTGAGACAGGGTCTCACTAAGTTGCTTTGAGCCTCACTAAATTGCTGAGGCTGGCTTGAACTTGCAATCCTCCTGCCACAGCCTCCTGAGCTGCTGGGATTAAAGGCAGGTGCTATTATATCTGGACAAAATTTTAATAGTAGATTTCTGTGGGTGGTGGGATTTGGGGATATGAATTCAAATATTTTTTTCTTCATGTTTATCAATAGTTTCTAATTTTTCTACAGTGAATGTGTCCTACCCAGAACCATGTGGGAGAAAAGGGAGGGATTGTAGCCTGGATCTTGGGTGTTCCCAGGGTCAGTCAGACCCAACACTGACCTTGGCCAAAATGGTGAAGGCTTCAGGGTCCAGTACTAGGATCTCTTTGTTCTCAGTGCCCAGCACCAGGCATGACACGGCATCCTCATCGGCCAGGTTTTTCTTCAAGGTGATCATGGTGGTGATGACTGTCTGCAGAAGGACTCTAGAGGTCACTCAAGGAATCCTACACCATCCCCCAGATATCCCTGATGTCACAGGAAGGAAGAAAGAAGGCAAAGAAAGAGGAGGACGAGGACGACAAGGAAGCATCAGAGATATGACAGATTTATGTGCAAACATGTTTATGCAACAAACCTAACTTCCTCACAACAACAAAAGGAAACAGTAAGTCAATTATGAGCTATCTCTGTGATCAAATCAACGTGGACGTTTCCTAAAAATTATGTTTTAAAAAATTCAATGACATAGGGAATGCTTCTAATGGGAGAGAAAAACAATAGGTAAAGTCACGTTTGTAAAATCACAATTTAAAATATATAAACATGCTGGAAGAGGGCTGGGGGTCTAGCTCAGTGGTAAAGTGATTGCCTACCATGCATAGGCCTTGGGTTGTGAAAGACAATGATCATATACTTCAGTGTGAAAAGGGCACATTATATGATTCCATATCATGATCCTGATTTTTTCCTTTTTAAAAAACTATTTATTTTTTAGTTGTAGTTGGACACAAGACCTTTATTTTATTTATTTATTTTTATGTGGTACTGAGGATTGAACCCAGGGCCTTGCACATGCTAAACGAGTGCTCTACTGCTGAGCCACAACCCCAGCCCTTCCTTTTTTTTAAAAAAAATGGTACTGGGGATTGAACCCAGAGAGCCCTTTCTAAATTTTATTTTGAGATATGGTCTCAAACAACAACAAAAAACTGCTAAAAAGTTAAGCCCTCAAATACAAAGACTGTTTATCTCTGACAATGAAATCATGGAGGGTTTTTTAGGATTACAATGGACAATTTTTTTTTTTTTTGTACAGGGGATTGAACTCAGGGTCACTTGACCACTGAGCCACATCCCCAGCCCAATTTTGCTTTTTATTTAGAGACAGGGTCTCACTGAGTTGCTTAGTGCCTTGCTTTTGCTGAGGCTGGCTTTCAACTTGAGATCCTCCTGCCTTGGCCTCCGGAACTGCTGGAATTATAGGCCTGCGCCTCTATGCCCAGCCCGCACATGTTCTTTTGTAATTAAAATTAGACAACAAATAAGAAAAAGGATGCTCACTTTCTAAGGAATTTCTCACATGAATATTAGCAGAACCAAAACATTTATCTTTGGAAAAATTAGCTGTCCACTGTGTGATCATCATTAAGAACAAAAAATAGGGATCATTCTCAGCACACAGGATTAAAGGTCACAGAAACATGGATGGACATTAGTGTTCCCAGTCACTTAACCATAACACATGCTTGGGAAAATTGTCCCCTTCTCTTCCAGATAATTAATCCATTTCTCAGTTTGAAGAGTACTCAAAGATGCTAATAACTAAAGACCTGAGCAGTTGATAAGCAGGAATGAGCAATGATTCTCAGAGAACTGAGGATCAGGTTAATAGCGCAGCATGTGTTGACCAGCACATTCAGTTAAGGTGGCCTCTACAGGTGTGGATGGTCCCATGAAAAATATGGAGGGAATAAAAGGGAAGCATTTCTTGCCCAATGTTCAGATGGAATGGCTACATAAACTAACTAATAACCAATGAAATAATCAAGAGCTACTAAAAATAAAGGTTTTTTTTTTTTTTTTTTTTTTTTTTGCAGTACTAGGGATGGAACTCAGGGTTGCTCTATTGCTGAACTACACCTTAGACCTTTTCATTTTGAAACAAGATCTTGCTAAGATGCTGAGACTTCAAACTTGTGATCTTCCTGCCTCAGCTTCCCACGTAGCTGTGATTCCAGATGTGTACCACTGTGCCTGGGCCTAAAAATGGGAGTTCGTGAAGATTATTCGAGGTTCAAAATTTAATGTTACATACTCAAGGGAAGTAGAATGCATAGGACTATTTGTGAAGGAAATGTACCAAAATGGTAAGAGTAATAATCTCTGGTTAGTGAAATTAGAGTCATTTACATTTCCCCTTTGCAATTCTCCTTATTTTCCAAAAATACCTTTACCCTCAATAAAATAAAAGCTATATGCAAGTTATATAAGATTATATATTTATGTGTTAAAAGCTGTAACTGTTAACTGTACATGTAGAAGGTACTGCTGTTTTATGACTCTATATATGTGGTGTGGCTGGAAAGGAAACTGCAAACTCAAACTGGTCTGGTTTGGTTGTAGAACTTGCCACTGATGTTATATGGTTTAAAAAAAAGTAAATATTTTTTACAGGGTAATAAAAAGAGAAGGGGGTGCCAGGCATGGTGGCACACATCTATAACCCCAGCTAATCATGAGGATCACAAATTCAAGGCCAGCCTGAGCAACTCAGCAAGACCCTGTCTCAAAACTAAAAAATAAAAAGGGCTGGGAATGCAGCTCAATGGTGAGCACCCATACCAGAGTGGGGGTGGAAAAGGACAGATAGATGGATGGAAGGAAGGAAGAAAGGAGTGTTACCTGCCGCTTGATGGTCTTGGACTTGTGTTGGTTCACAAATGCCTCCATTTCACTCAGCTCTAGATGTAGAAACCTGGACACAGAGAAGTGGTATGTCCATTTCCCAGCCCAGTCCATGGCCACTCCCTTCCCTTGGCTCTTCCTAGGATCCTTACCTGAGTGACTGTACAGACAAAGGCACCTCTGCCTTCTCCCTGCAAGAAGAGTGGCCAGTATGGCAGGTTTGGTAGAAGAATGGCCCCTAAGGGTCAGAGCTCTGGGATGCAGGAGTGGGGGTGGGAGGGGTCATGGGGGAGGTGGGCTCTCACCGGATGCCCTCCAGCATCTCTTTCAAGGTCAAGGGGTCTATCCGGTCCTGTGACAGCAAGAGAAAAAAGAAGAGCCTGTGAGCTCCAGCACCCATGTCCTCAGGGAGCCCACACTTCCAGGAGTTCCTCTTCCTTTCTACTTCCCTCCCAACTTTCTTGCACTGAACCCCAACTTCCTTGATTTGAATCCGGCCTTGGGGCCAAGGCCACCCACATTATCCTCCCTCAAAGTCCCTTACTCTCGCTGCTTCTAGTGCCCTACTTTCCTCTTGTGGGCCACTTCTTTCTTTGGTTTCCCTCACTCCACAGATGGGCAAGAGTGTGGCTAATGCAGAGGATTCTCTGAGTTCTGTTCTTCAAAAGCCCTGGTTGAATGCCTCTCTGGGAGCAACTGCTTAGGGACTGAACCAGCACCTTACCCAGAAGGGCCACCACTGATGCTGCTGGAGATGAACTATGGCCAACCTCCCACCACTGGCCCACCTATGCGCCCACTCTTCCAGCACAGAGCCTGGCCCTCTTCACCCTATGCCATCTTTGCCTTCTTGTTCCCATGCCCAATGTTGCTTACCTCCTTAGCTTGGTTCCAAAGGTCTTGTTCCAGAGGGTTTAAAGATAAAGGGGGAAGACTGAACTTGAAGTAGGGCCTAAGATTCTTATATATATAGACACAAGGGCCTGAAGCAAGTGCCAGAGCTGGAGTCCGGGTCTCGTGTTGTTCCTCCATGAGGAAGGCAGCAGCAGCAGCTGGCAGAGCAGGCAATGGGTTTTCTGCCAGCACTGTTGGTCCTTTGAGCACCTTCAGACGGGGATGCTTCCCAGCAGGGCCAAGATCTCCCACCACCAGCTGCAGGGAAAAAATTGCTCATTCCAGGCTCAGGGTCCAAGAGATCTCTCCCAAGACCCTCTTCTTGGGCTGGGCCTTTTTACTAATGCTCATTTCTTTATCCTCATACCAACAAAGGACTTGCCATCAGGCTTACAAGTCATGTGCCTTTGGGAAAGTTAATCAACCTTTCAGAGCTCAGGTTTCCTGTGGGAAGCTGTTCTCGCACGCGATTGGGCACCTTCCTGACTGGGTATGAGGCGTTCCAGCCAAGCAGGGAACACCTAGGTACTTCATGATACAAGTGGTGAAAACCAAATGAGATAATGAATTACAGAACCTGGTAAGAAATAGCTGGCAGCTGATGTTTTTATTTATCCATTCATTATTCATCTCTTTTTGTCTCCCCCCTTTCATCCAAGACCTTGCACATAATACACAATTGCTCTACCACTGGGCTAAAAACTTATTTATTTGTATTTAAATTAAATTTAAATTTACCTTTTTATTATAGAAAATTCCCAATCACAAAGAAAAGTAGAGAAACTTGTACAACGAATCCCCATAAACCCATTATCAACTTAGGGCTGGGGATAGAGCTCAGTTGATAGAGTGCTTGCCTTGCATGCATAAGACCCCTCCAGGAAAAAAAAAAAAATCACCTCATGGCCAATCCTAAAATCAGTGGTCTCTTGATAAACATAAAACTCTCACTTCCCTCTAGACTTTATTGTCTGCCCCCAGCTAAGGAATTTGCTTTTCCAGCAAAGAATCATGTCAAGGTAACTAAATTAAAAAGCAGTTCTTGGTAGAATCCCCAACAGCATTCTGTTGTGCTTTACAAACTTCTTCAATCTGGATTAGAAAATCAATAGGTTTCTTTCACTTTAGAAGCAAAAATAAAATTAGCCCTAAAAGTGCATTCTTCACTGTACATGTGAATTCCAGATTATGCTAAATCTCTTTGGAGCCAACGGAAAAATCTCACTTTGGGGTACTTCCCCACCCCCAACTCTGCTGAGGTGACTGGTTTACCTTGTACTCTCCGTCCCCGTGCAAATCTGCTAGGGCTGGAATAAACAAAAAGACCATTAATCAGAGTCTCAAAATCCTTCGCCATGGAATCTTACTCCCGCACCCTCCTAGCACCAGGGGTTCCTGATTCCAGAGACTCACCCAGGCAGGCGGAAAAGGTATGGATGTTGGCCATGGGGTCGTAGTGCGCGTCCAGCCATTTCGAATTGGCCTCGTTGCTGGAAATGGGGGGGCGGAATTGGGGAGTGGGTCACACGCGAGGGTAAGGAAACTTTGGGGGAGCTAGTTAGTGCCTGAGACCGAGGAGTGCAGTGAGCTCTGAACGCCTGGGTCCCGGTCCCTGCGGCTCACACTTGCACTCCTAGGGCAACGGTTTCCCTTCTCCCAAGAGTCCTTCCAGGACTGTCAGCGCTGCGCAAGAGCCGCAGGATCCCGGAGTCCGGCGGCCAAGGCACAAGTTACACGTGTGGGAAAGGACACCTTGAGAACCCGGGCCCTCACCTCTCAGCTAGGCCGCTGTCGGAATCGGGTGAAGACGCAGCAGCCATCTTCGCAGACGTCGTCTAGGCAACTGGCCCCGCCTCCCCCGCGGCGCAGCGTCCAATCACGCCCGGACACCGGGAAGCGCGTGTACATGGGTTCCGGGGAGAAGCTTTCTGGACCAGAGCCTAGAGACCCCATGCTGAACGCACTGGCTTTCACGCTAGTGCAACGCACTGAGGCACAGTCTCTTCATCTCTCTTATTTTGCTTTATGGCTTCTGGTTCCTGCAATCTCTGGGGCAGGGACAGGGGTCTCTGGCTTCGAGGCCTGGAGAGGAGCCCCTGATAGGCTTTGAACACCAACAAGGTTAACCTGGTTGAAGAGGCTGCCTTTCTGTAGAGGCTCAGGCTCCGGGAAACTAAACACAAGGGTTAAGGGACAGCGTGGAGTATCCTGACCCAAGGTGCCAGTTTCTAGTTTTTAGGCTCCTAGAATAATTTAAAGTGCAAGAAACGTAGTAAAGGAGGGCTGCTAAAATTGTCCTATGTGTGACTGTGCATCCTGGTTTATTCATGATGTCAAAATCCTGTTGTGGAAAGGAGGGCAAAAATTACCCTCCTGCCCATTCCCTAGGTTTCAATCCTATTGTCCCTGCCCCCAGCAAAAAGGAGGAATCATGCACACTGTAAGATGGTGGTTGTTTCTATTATTTATTTTTCTGGTTATAAAAGTAATACATGAAGAGCATTGGATTTGGTGAGAAGATTTTGAGCCCTGGCTTTTTGTCACACGCCACCTGCAAGATCTAGACCAGTCACTGAACTACCAGTTCCTCATCTGGGAAACAGGACAAGAAGCCCTGCGTATGCTCTCCATACATGGCAGTGCAGCTCAAATCACAGAGTAGAAGCACTTGGTAAACTGGAAAGTGCTGACAAACGGAAGGGGTTAGCATCACCACCCTCAGATGAGGTAGCACCAAAGTTTGAGCTCCTGCCCCTCCGCTGACCCATAGCTACACACACATTGGAGGGCCACTGGTAGTCCTGGTTTGATGGAGTGGGGGGCAGGGCCACACAAATCTTCTCAAGCCTGGCCAGACTGGGCCTCACTGGGGCTCTTCCAGAACCGGGCATCAGCTGTGGCCAGCCGGGTGAGGACCTCCTCCAACTCAGGTCCATCCTCTAGGAAGCGCTCTGTGAAGGATCTGATGAGGCCAGCAGCTGAGGCCTCGTACTCCAGAAGCTGCACTTCTGAGCCTGGGAATGGACACAGAGAAAATAGCAGCAGAAAGATCTTAAGAGAAGTACAATCACAGTGATGTCACAGGAGCTCCTAGTTCTTACTGAGCTCTTCTCTTGGGCCACAAATTGTGCTCAATATTTAAGTTGATTTTCTAACTTAGTCCTCATAGTCATCTTTCAGGGAAGGAAATATTACAGGAAGAATAGTAATGAAACTCCCCCCTCTCATCCTTAAGATTAACACCAGGTGCCGTGTTAGATGAAACAGATATAGTGCTTGGCCTCGTGGGGCTTACAGTCCAGCAATGGCTTCATACCTGTCTAGACCACGGCCAAGTTTCCCAACTTCCCTAAGTCTCAATTTCCTCATCTGTAAAGTGGGGTGAGCATAGTGCCTCTTCTCTCAAGGAGCTGAGGAATTACATACAATAGTGCATCAAGTGGGTGCTCACAAATGCTATCCACCAGCAGAGCAGCATCTGAGCTGATCACTCACCTGTGAAATGGGCTTGTTCGGAGGGTCCCCTGAGTACTCATGGGGAAGCACTCCCCTCTAACTCACTTCAGCTGCTCTAGCCTCTCACAGCACCTTGGTGCGCTCCACAGCATCTTGAGGTGCATGATAAAAGCGGAGGTTATGGGTTCAGATGGACCAAGTCCTGACTCTGTGTCCCACTAACTGTGTGATCCCAGGTCAGTATGCATCCCCTTTGTGTCTCTGTTTGTTTCCAGCTGAAAAACGGGGATAATAACCATTCCTTTCTGAGTTGTTGAGAGTTAATTCATGGAAAGTTTTCACCCAGTACCTGGCACCCAGGAGTCCTCCAAATTTAGCTATCGTCATTATCACCTCACCATCACAATTATTACCTTTGATAATCCAACCTGTTCTTCAGTCTAGTTTAACCACTTCCTCCCTAGAACCTTCCCAGATTCTCTGAAGGCAGATGGGATCTTTTCTCCTCCATGTGTTCAGTGCACTGTTGGTATCTTCTGGGCACTTGTTAATGCTTCCCTTGTATAATTACCTCCATGCCTAATCATTCTTAATGGGCTGTGAACTACTCAAGGGGAGGGCCTGGGTACCTTTCATGTCTCCACCCCTCGGTGGCTAACACAGGGTGGACATATCAAAGCAATGATGATATTGTCCATGGGGCCGGCAGGATTCACTCATTCATTTCATTTGACCATAGAGAGTAGCTGTTGCATGCCAGGCCCACGCTAGGGGCAGGGGTATACCACTTCTGGAGATGAGACGGACAAGAAAATGTCCAATCATGATAGACACAGAAGGAAAATGAAGCTGAAGGATAGAGAGGGATGGGAGTAGGTTACTTTATATTGAGAGTGTGGGGCAAGCGCCTCTCAGGAGGTGTCATTTAACAGGGACCTGAACGTACCAGACAGGCACAGATTGGCACTATCATGCCAAGAACATGGAACGGTGTGTAAAGAGGTGCCAAGGGTGAAGTGGGCTCAGTAGGTTAAAGAAATGTAAGGGCACAGAAGGCACAAGTACCATGCAGGGAGAGCTGGGACTTTTGAAAATGGAACTGTCATTGAGAAGGCAGAGGAAGGACAGAGCTGACCCTCATCCTGGACACTACCAAGTTCTCCTTTGGGTTCTGCTCAGCCTACAGAGTCCCAGCTCCTTGCCCATCCTGATCTGGCACCCAGCAGCCACGATTCTCCAGCTACTGGCCTGGCCTTCCCATGAACCCCTGCTCTGCCAGCCTTCCTCAGACCTGCTGCCGCTGATAACCATGAGAGAGAGAGAGAGAGAGAGAGAGAGAGAGAGAGAGAGAGTGTGTGTGTGTGTGTGTGTGTGTGTTTGGTGGTAAATGCTGAGATCTGTCAGGGGAAGGACCACCCCAGACAGCCTTCCCTGGGTCCCCATCAAGGGAGCCCCAAGTCCATTACCTTCAAGGCGAGTGTTGGGCTGAACAATCAGCTTCCGTGACTCCTTGCGCAGCAGCACCGTGTCCCTGAGAGAGAGGAAGCACTCGGGGGGCGCATCAGTGACCGCCGCATAACCCTCATACAGGGCCCTCCCTCCAGCCACATCCCCGGTGGACTTCAGCACCTGTAGGAAGGAAGGAACAGGTGTCTAGGATGGGCACTCCCCTGTGTTCATAGGACTCTGCCAGGGGCCACGGCTGGCAGTGCCCAGCCCTGAAGGGTCCATGCTGTGGTTGAACGTGTTGAGTCCAGAATTCAGAGTTAACACTTAATGGCTAATGTGATGGTATTAAGAGGTGGGGCCTTTAAGAGGTGCTTGGGCCATGAGGGCTCTGTGAATGGGATTGGCCCTTATAAAAAAAGAAACTTCCTGCATCAGCAGGCCTTTCTGCCTTCCACCATGTGAGAACACAGTTCCTCCTGTCCGGGGAATTCAGCAACAAGTGGACACCACATTGGAAGAGGAGAGTAGTCCTCACCAGATGCTGAACCTGCTAATACTTGGATCTCAGACTTCCTAGATTTAGAAGTGTGAGAAATAACTGTCTACTCTTTATAAATTACCCAGTCTCAGGCATTTTGTTATAGCAGTACAAAATGGACTATCTGCAAAAATACTCATCTGTCACAGGCTGTGTAACCTTGGATAAGTTACTAAACCACTCTGAGTTATTATCTTTAAAGGGGAATAATCTGCACTCTCACAGTGTTGTTGAGTGAGTGACGAATATGGCTCAAGTGCTTAGCACATAGTAAATGCCCACTAAACCAAGGAGAATGTTTCTCACTTGATGTTTTGACAAGGTAGGCATCACAACACCTTTTTTAATAAAACATTTCAAATATACATGACACAGTAAAGAATAATGAAACAGATGCCCATATGCCCAAACAGCCCACGTTAAGAGTTGGTCCCCCTATGCTGATGATCTGTGAGGTACAACAGTAAATAGCATGTTAGAGTTCTGATGGCAGTTGTTGATAATGAAGAAAAATGTCTTTCCATCCTAATACTTTGAAATAACCACATGTTCAAAAAAAAAAAAAAAAAAGAGTTGGTCCCCCTTGGGACTGTGGTTGAGGCTCAGTGATAGAGTGCTTGCCTAGCATGTGTGAGGCCCTGGGTTTGATCCTCAGCAGCACATATGAATAAACAAATGAAGTAAAAAAATCCATTGTCAACTAATAAATAATAATAAAAAAATTGGTCCCCCCCCACCTGTCAGCACCTGTGGCCTCGTGGCCTCCTCCATCTATGCAAACAGCTGTTCTCAACTCTGTGCTCATTTCTCTTGCTGACTCAATATAAAATTCAAATTTGAATTACCTATTTGCCTCTTTTTGAACTGTACACACTGATTCACTTTTCTGCTTCATCGTGCTTCAGATTCATCTGTGCTATTCTCCCAGGCAGCTATTCTCCTCCTCCTCACTGCCGTGTCACACACAGGAAGTCTCACACGCACACACACACGACTTCATCTCTCCTGCAGTGGGTGTGTGGGTGTGTGGGGTGCTAGGATCAAACCTGGGGCCTCCTTTCCTCCAGGATGGGTTAGGGGATGGACCTAAAGGGTGGGAGAGATTGGTCAGGAGATTCCCAGAATAGCGCTGGGCTTGGAAAGCTGGGAAAAAAAGGAAATTTGTGTTTCCATCTAAATGCATCTGTGTGCCTTAGGGTCCAGCAGTTCAGGGATGAGAGGCATTTTGTGAATGTTTCCTAAATTCTCTCAGGTCTTTGGCCCAGTGTCACCAAGTTTGGCCGACCTTGGTATTTTAGTGGTTGCTGGAAGGAAAAGAGCATATTGAGTAGTCTGGCGTCAAGAATGGGGAGGTGTCAGATGAGAACAGCCCTAGAGGGGGGAAACAGGAGAAAGGGGCCCAGTGGTTAGCTTATCCCCAGACTATTCTCCATTCCTCCAAGAGCTGATTTAGGGAGTTAAAAACACTCCCCATTCCCCACCAAAAACCTGCTCTAATATTTTGAGAAGGAACATGTGCCCTTTTCCTTTCAACGGGAAAAATCTAACATAGTGTTTAAAAGCATGGGTTTTGGAGTCAGATGTGTTCAGATTACTAGCTTTGCTACTTACTAGCTGAATTTGACCTCAGTTGATTTACTTAACCTCTCTGAGCCTCAGTTTCCTCAACTCTAATGATATATGGGGGTGGGGGTAGGGAGCCACTGAAAATATCTACCTCAGGGTTGTTGGATTAACCGAAACAATGTCTGTAAAGCTTTAGCACAGTGCCTGGCAAGCACTTAATAAACAGCTGTGGTGGTGGTAAAAAAAAAAAACAACAAAACCTGGGGCCTCCTGCATGTGAGCATCACTCTATCACTGAGCTACACCCTAGCGCTGATCCGTGCTTTTGCTGTTAAATGCTGCTGTGAGTCCCCTAGTACCTCTTCTGATGAAGATGTGCAGGTTTTTCTAGAATTGATGGTCTGTTGGGTACATGAATGCTCAACTTTTGAGGGAGGGTACGAGGGATTGAACTCAGGGGTACTCGACTACTGAGCCACATCCCCAGCCCTATTTTTTAATTTTATTTAGAGACAGGGTCTTGCTTTTGCTTAGAGCCTTGCTTTTGCTGAGGCTGGCTTTGAATTTGCAATCCTCCTGCCTCAGCGACCTGAGCTGCTGGGATTATAGGCATGCACCTCCACACCGGATGAGGTTGAACATCTTTTTATACACTGATGGGCCATGTGTATGTTGTCTTTGGAGAAATATCTGTTTAGGTCTTTTGCCCATGGTTAAATCAAATTATTATCATTATTTATTTATTTTTTGCTATAAAATTATAGGTAGGTCTGATAATTTTTCCCCTCCTTTCTTGTTTTCTTTTAAGATGAATTTTAGAATTATACTCTATTATTTTAGTGTCTACCCTAGAAATTTTAGCAAATGCATTTAATAAAATTGATGGAACTTTTCATCCTTCTCCCAAATTATAAACAGATTGTAAGAGTATCTATTCCATGGCGTATATGATGCTGGGGTCCAGTATTTCATGCTCTTTTGTAACCCCAGGAATTGAACCTTTGTATTGATGTACAAAGTTCACATTGTAACTTAAACCCTTGTATTTATTACTATCTGCATTACACCATTTTTTTAGGTTTATCAAACCTCGTATCTGGAGCTGATTTTTCTTTTTTTCTCATGTCCTATAGAAATTTTATTACTAAATTTTATTTAGTATTTTGTTTGTTAATGGTAAACTGTTTTTGCTTGTTTAAAAATATCTTTAATCCATCGTTGTTCTTGCTGCTTTTGGGGACAGAACCCAAGGCCTGGTGAATGCTGGGCAAGCACTAACCACTGAGCAACACCCCAGCCTAATCACTCCTATTCTTAAAAGACGAGTTACTGGGTCCTGACAGTAATCTACTCAGCACTTGGCAGACGCGGTTCCACTGTCTTCTGGCTTCCTGGATAGCTATGGAAGCTCTAGGTCTAATTACTGTTTTAAGGTAGTGTGTCTTATTCCTCAGCTGTTTTGAGGGTCTTCTCTGTCTCTGATATTCTGTATCATGTATGATATTTCTAGGTAGAGGCTTCACTTGTCCTTCCTGGGTTTTTTTTTAGCTTTCTGGATTTATTAATTGAAGTCTTTAATCAATTCTAGATTATTCTCAGCTATTATCTGTTCTCATGTTCCTTCTATCACTTCTCTCTGCTTTTCCTTTGGAACTTCAGTTAGATGTACATTAGAATTTCTCACACTCTCCTCCATGTCTCTTAGCCTCCCTTAAATTCCCTATCTTTGTTTCTCTGTTACACATGGTTTATGATTTCTTTTACAGTCGGCTCAATCTAAAACCTGTTTATTCTGCCTTAGTTAATCTGTCTTTTTAAATTCCAGTCATTATCTAGTTTATTTCAAGGCGCTCTATTTGGTTCTTTGCCAAGTATCTGACATTTTGTGAGTCTGACCCTTGTTTGTTCTGCCCATCCTCAAGTGACAAAACAGGCCCTGAGGCTAGGCTCTCTCCTGGACAGCCTCTGCCTCCTTAGACCCGGGGTTAGAATGACTTTCCCAGCAGTGGAGCAAACAGAACCAATTGGGAGCCCTGGGGAAAGGCTCACCTCTCCCTCTTAACAGCACTTAACACCCACAAGGTGCTGAGTACCCACCAATCAAGCTGATGTGTAGATTCTGGGAGTTCAAATGGGACAGCTGGCAACACATGCCAAGGGGAGGCAGACAGTGTCCTACCCAATGGTTTAGGCAGGTGGAGGCCTCGCCCACAGGGCCTGGTCTCAGACCCTCCATGAACACCAAAATCCATGAATGCTCAAGTCCCTTATTTCAGATACTTGCCTCAAACCTAGGCACCCATTTGAATATATTATAAATAATCTCAAATTATTTGCCATACCTAAGAAAATGTAAATGCTGTGTACACAGATGTTTAGGGAATAATGACAAAAAAAAAAAAAAGAAAAGAAAAAAAAAGACAGAACATACACAACTTTCCCCCCAAATATTTCCACTGTGCAGCTGGTTGAATCCAGACATACAACCCATGGACACAGAAGGCTGACGTCTGAGTGATAGGGAATGGTGAGGACCACGCCAACCAGAGAGCCCACACCATGTCCAGCCCTGGGCTGTGGCTCAGCTCCCCTAGCAGTTCCTCATGTGGGAATTAAGCCTGTGAATGGTAGTTTCCAAGAAGCCAGAAATATAGATTTATACCTTTGCCAAATTTTATCAAACGAGGTGGGTCAAAAATATGGCTATTTGAGACCCCTGGTTGAAAGCTTTCCCTGCCTGCTGTCTCACTGCTGTGCCCTTAGCTGTTATGGAGGCTGATATAACATATAGTCACCTGTATTCCATAATTTCTGTACAATTGTTGCTGAGGACACTGTCTATGATGCTGCACAATTTTCCCAATACAGAGAACCACCTGGCTCAGTCCTTAAGAGGGGCTCCCAGGGAGTTCCACGCCAATTCAATGCTCAGTGGCAGCTCAGTTTGGTCTTGGGGTTGGTAGATTTGATTCTTTCATCTAATGGCTTGTTATTAGCAATAAATTTGAACTTGGAATGATTTAAGACTTATTGCCAAGTTGCACGGATAGTCCGGTGAGCTCCCATAAGCCCCTAGTGCAATTTCCCTTCTTGGTACCTCTTATATAGCTGGTCAATTACTAGTAACTTAAACTCCATCTAGATTTCCCACTAATGTCCTTCTTCTATTCCAGGGTCCAACCCAAGATGCTGCCTTGTGTTTTGGATCTAATGATTTTTAATCTCTAACTTTCTTTTGCTTCATTGTCCTTGCCTCCCCACAGTGAGAAACCGATCACAGGGGGACACTTGCTGAATGACTAAGGGAATAACCTTGAGGCTGTGAGGAGGTGTCAGCAGTGTGGGGAGATGGGGCAGAAGTTGGGGGGGCTTCAAGGCACGAGGCCTTCACTCACCTGCAGTCTCCGCAGGAACCGCTCCAGCGCAGGCCGGCCCACAGACCGGATCTTGCTGCGGTCTAGGCGGACCCGGGCATCTGGGCGGCCATCAGAACCGGTAGTGGGAGTGACGGTCACAAGTCCCTCGCCCGCCTCCAGCAAGACCCGCAGGATCACAAATCGGGCCTGCATGTGAGCCTGCCAGGGTCAGGGGGAAAGAGGTCATCTGTAGCCAATATCAAATGCTTGGTCTAAGCCTAATGTGCCCCAGGGGCTTACTGTCAATTATTACTGTCATTTTCTTCTCCCTGATCCTCTGAATTTTTTTCTGATCTCACTTCAAATGCTTCTTTCTCCTTCTCTGCTCACAGGGAGGGCAAGCTGCCCTGGGGGATAGGGAGACTATTTCTAGGTAGGACCTGGTATTCTTGGTCCCCTATGTCACCCAACATGCCACCTGCTTCTCCAGACCCTCCGAGGACAGCAGCTACCCCTGAAGGCCCCTCACTTTCAGGACCTTGAGCACTTTCTGCTCCACAATCTTATTTGTGCTAAACAGCAGGACCAAATAGGCATCATTATCCCCAGCTTATAGATAGGTACAGTGACTTACTCAGGGTCACACACAGCTGTTAAATAAATGGTCAGGACTCAGACCCCAGTTTCCAGATTCTAAAATGTATATACTTTTGATAACATAAAACTGCCTCCTCAAACCACACTTTCTTGATTTTGTAAAAAAAGTTGCTATTATTTACTTTTTCCAAAACCCATGCTAAAAATGAGCACTTGAACCTAATGGCTCTGGAGGTGGACTGTGGGGATTTGAATCCTGTCTCTTCCTTAGCAGCAAGTTAATGGATCTCTTTGTGCCTCGAATTCCTCATCTCTACAGTGAGGTAATAAAACTGCCTCCCTCCTGGGGCTGAAAATGGGGGCAACAGTTCAGTAGTGCACCACGTGAGCACTGTGCCAGGAGCAGCCAGGCATCCGTTAGTGACAGCAAAAATGTCTACTTGATTGACCCTGAAAGGTGGCCAGGGAGAGACGGTGCCTCCCACCTCCCAGGCAGGGGCACTAAAGCTCACTGCAGTGACATGACTTGTCCCACCAACCGTGGACTCTGGATTAAACCCTGTCCACCTGCCTCACAAGTACCATTGTCCCTGCACCCACAACTCTGAGCTTGGCTCCGTCTGCCTCCTCAGGGAGGCCCAGTCCCACCTGGCGCCAGCTGGAGGCCTCTGGGGTGTAGAACTCCAGAGCCAGCAGCCCAGCCCGAACCATGTTGAGCCAGTTCACGTAGATCACGTCTTCCGCATCAGCCCCCTGGAAGCCAAAGATCCTGGGGAGGAGGGGCAAGGGGCAGGCACAGTCAGGGCGGCCCTGCCCTCCCTGCCGGCACCCGCACCCCCTGCACATCCACTGCTCCTACTCCAGCACTTGGGGGTTGAGGCAGAGGTAGAGGCCCACGCTCTCAGCCCGGCACTCTTCGTAGCTCGAGGCAATGGTGCTGAACTTGCTGTCCCAGGTCTCCCCACTCCGGTACCAGCTCTGAATCTGGGAGGAGAGCCATGAGTCAAGCCCTGACCCTGCCCGCACCCAGCACCCTGGGCTCCACAGAGGTGGGGCTCCACAGAGCCTGTCCTCACCTGCTCCCCCGTCTCTGGATTGATCACTGTCTCCTGGTCAAAGTTGAACACTCCCTTCTCATCCTGCAGGAATACGGGTAAGGGAGGCGGGGATCTTCAGCTCTGGGGTCCCCAGGCCAAGGCTCAGCTCACAAAGGCGAGCCAGGGAGCAGCAGGGTGGCAGTTCGAGCACCACACCGATGCCTGCACACCGCAGTGCTAGGACTCATCTCATCTGTGTGGCTCCCTGCTGGGCCCACAGCTTCCTCCGCTGTCTTTCCCATATTCCCCCAGTGGGTGTCAAGGGCTCTGGCCACAGTGGCAGGTTGGGACATTTCTGGGGAGAAGTGGCTCCCTAAAATATCTAGGAAGGTACTGGCTCGGGGAACAGCCGTGTGAAGACAGTCCTGCAGCCTCGGCGCCGCCCCAAGGCTGACCCTCCCAGCCTCTGTCCCTGCAGCTGCCCAGGTCACACCCTCAAGGTGGGTTCCTGAGCCCAAGCCCAGCAATTCTTCCTGGTTCAAGGGCCACCAATGGAACTGTTCTGGAGACCCCTGTCATCTTGGGGAAGACAAGACAGAGTCTTTCTTCCTGCTTAAGGAGCCCTCTTCCCCAAAGCCCCCCAGGGCAGAGCAGCTTCCCTTCCCTGAGTCGGGTTGTGGGGGTGAGGGAGGCTCCTGCGGGCACGGGGTGGCACCCTTCTCACCTGGGCAAAGAGCTTGCCACTGCCATGGCCCAGCAGCTCGTGCAGCCCCACCTGCACATCAAAGGAGGGCCCCTTCCAGCGGGTGTACAGGTCCTGCCAAGGCAAGCAGAGTCCCCGCTGTCACACGTCCCACCACGGCCACCCGGCCTGCAGGTAGAAGGCCCGTCGTGGTGCGTGTGCTTGGAGGAGGCCGAGTGCACTCCGACCCCACGTAGCAACAACCCAGGAGGGAGGGGTGCCTTCGTCATGACCAGAAAGCACACAGGCTCCACAGGGCCACCAGTCACTGGCAGGGAGATGGCCAAGCTCCGACCAGAGTGCTGTCCCTGCCACAGCTCTGGGCTGTCTGCCTTCCTGAACCTGCCAGGCCAGGTGAGGCCGGCCCCGCCCCTCGGGCTGCTGACGCCCACCTTGTCCTCCTCCTCCAGGAATGTGAGCTTCTCCCGTTGTGTGGCGTAGGCCACAGCCAGGACGTTCCCCAGGGACACGTTCTTAAAGCCTTCGGTCTGCCTCAGGTCGTCGTCTGGAAGAGAAGGCCAGGAGGGGACCAGAGAGATGGACGAGGAGTGTCGGGGGCGAGGAGTGGCCGGGAGGGTGAACAGGGCAGGGCCGTTTGTGGAGGGGAGGGGCGGCTCTCCATGGGCTCCTGGTGGCTAGGGGTACCAAGGAAGCTCACAGTTGGGGATGTTGATGCCAGCAGGGATGCCAGAGCCAGCGAAGGTGAGGACATCAAGGGAGGTGAAGTCTGGGGTGAGGAACTTGTCCTTCTCGAAGGCCGGTGGCCAGGGCAGCTCCTTCAGCAGCTGCTCTGCGCTCTCTACCAGCCGCTCGAACTTGGCACTCATGGCCTTGTTCACCATGGCCACAAATCCTGCAGGGCAGGACAGGGTGGAGGTTTGGCAGAGTCCTGGCAGGGATCCCACACCACCCAATTCAACCCCTGTGGCCATCGCATTAATGTCTGCTCTGTGCTGTGGCCCTGTGCTAGCTGCTAGGGACGACAGTGACACAGACCTGGCCCCTACTGCACCAAACCCTGGGTAGGAAAGCTGCAGGTACATGAACCCTTTTCCCCCTCAGGCCCCTGCGCTTGGATCTGTGGCTCACAGACAAGCCCCAGTGGGCTGTGGGAACGGGGCTCCCTCCTTGGAGCTACTCCCTGGCTTCGGCAGCTGGATGCCTAGACTTCCCTTTAGGGCTGGGGAGGAAGAGGATATACCAGCCCAGCAATTACGAATCCTCAGGCTGGATGCCCTGCCCTGCACAGGGGGGCCCCAGGAGTTATGGGGAAGGGGGCTGAGGCAGCCTCACAGGCAGGTTCACAGTCGGTGGAGCACAGCAGACTGCATATATGCTCTCACTGAGGCTCACAGGTCACATTATATGGTCCCAGGTCACAGAGATGGTGACGGGCAAAGCCTGCTCAGAATGCATGTCTGTCTGCCTGCAGCCTGCCCTGACCACACACCAGAGGCAGCACAGCAAGCTGGCTTGGAGCCGGAGTGCCTGGGTTCACCACCCACCGAGAAAAATCCTCACAGATGACAATATCTGGGTGAATCTGTATAGATGAGCTTCCTGAGACAGTGCCAGAATGTGGTAAATGGTTTTTATTTTGCAAGGCTGTTGTTATTGTTATTACTCCTGGGCAGGGAGGGGAGACCTCTAAGGGGACACTTAGAAACATGAACTTGGGCCTTGGGGGAAAGGATCCCAACCTGACCACCGGCAACCCCCACAAGTTACCTTCAAACTCTCCTCGGGAACCAAAGGGGTCTCGGTAGCTCTCAATAAACCCGATGTAACTGGAGGAGAGAGAGGCGCAGATGGAAGAGGGTGGACAGGAGGGGCAGGGCAGCGTAGGTGGTCACCTCACCTCTCCACGATGGGGCCTTTGTCCTGGATCCAGAAGCGGGAGCCCCTCTTGTGGGCCTCAATGGAGCCCTGGGTGAAGCTTTCGATGTACTGGGCCAGCATCTGCTCCTGGTGGCTGTTGGCTGCATATGCCTGGGGGTAAGCAGGGCTGGTCAGCCTCAGACCACCCACCTGTCCCCAAGTCCCATCTGCTGCCCAGGGGGTCCTGAGCCCAAAGCCCTCAGCCCAGCCAGCCTACCTTGGCTTTCTCCAGGTGATCCACCACCTTCTGGAGGAGGGGGGCATAGTCCCCCCGGGTCACCTGGAAGTGGCTCCCCTGGAATTCGTAGCTCTTCAGCTTGGAAGTCAATTCGGAGTCTAGAGCAGGATCTGAGGAAAGAAGGGCGGCGAGAGGAGGCCAATGTAAAATACTCCGCGGGCTCTTCATCATGGCGCTCTCACAGTAAGATCATCAATGACTCCCTACTGCCAGCAGGAATCACCATGAACTCTCATTTTAAAAGAATCCGTAACTGGGCTGGGAATGTGGCTCAGGCGGTAACACGCTCGCCTGGCATGCGCGGGGCACTGGGTTCGATCCTCAGCACCACATAAAAATAAAATAAAGATGTGTGTCCACCAAAAACTGAAAAATAAATATTTAAAAAATCTCTCTCTCTCTTTAAAAAAAAAAGAAAAAAAAGAATCCATAACTGGGCCGGGGTTGTGGCTCAGTGGTAGATCACCTGCCTAGCATGTGCGAGGCACTGGGTCTGATCCTCAGAACCACATAAAAATGGGTAAATAAAATAAAGGTATAAAAAAAAGTTGTATCTGTTTAAAAAATTAAAATAATAACAATAATACATAACCTGTGACATTCTAAGTGCTTTCTATGTGTTAACTTATTTAATCCTCATACCAACCCAGGTGGGGAGCGGGAATTATCATCTCCACTTTATAGATGGGGAAACCTAGGCACTGAGAAGTTAATAAAGTTTTCTAAAATCATGTTGATAGCAAGTGACAGAGCAGGGATACAAACCCAGGGAGACAGATTGTATTTAGAAAGAGTCACATCCTAAAATTGATCACAGTGGTCCTCGTGGGGAGACAAGAAGGTGACAGGAGTAGAAGCTTGAAGACAGAATTAAGCTGGGGTGCAGTGAGGAGGGGGCCACAAGCCAGGAGCTGCAGGAAGCCTCCTATGCGCTGGAAAAAGCAAGGAAACACCCCCCTGCAGGCTCCAGAAGAGCACAGCCCAGCTGACGCCTTGACCTTAGACTCCAGACCTCCAAAACTGTTCAGGAATGAATTTATGTTGTTTCATGCCATGATATGTGGCAGCTCATTACAGAAGCAAGGGAAACTATCACACTGTTGTTATTTGTATTACTGGGGACTGAGCCCAGGGCTCCTTCCCACTAAGCTGCACCCTCTATTCTTTTTAAAAAAATTTTTTAGACTGGGTCTCTCTAACTTGAACTTGTGATCCTCCTGCCTTAGCCTCCTGAGCAGCTGGGATTACAGGCACATGCCACTGTGCCTGGATACACAGTGGTATTTTGTTTCTCTCATCAGTAAAATTTACAATTGTCCCTCCTTATTTGTGGATGACACATTCCAAGTGGATGCCTAAAACTAAAGATAGAACTGAACCCTGTATATATTTTGCTTTGCCATGATGAGTGTTAACATGTTAACATGGTAACTGATTAGCAACAATAACTAATAATAAAAGAGAACAACAATATACTATAATAAGAATTACTTAAAACTTCTAAATAGTTTTATTTATTTGAGGAATAGGGACTTAACCCAGGGACACTTTACCACTAAACTACATCCTCAGCCCCTTTTATATTTTATTTTGAGACAGGTCTCACTAAGTTGCTGAGGCTGGTCTGCAATCCTCCTGCCTCAGCCTCCTGAGATGTTGGGATTATAGGCGTGCACCCACCACACCCAGCAAATGGTTTGTTTCTGAAAATGTTCCTTTCAACATTTGAGGCCATGTGACCATGGGTGGTAAACTGAAACCACATAACTTGAAACTATTGATAGGAGAAGACTACTGGACCTTCCATCCAACTCCAGACCTGCAGTCTATAAGCATAAAAAGGTGGTTTTGTATGGTTACATTTTGGGGGTGCTTGTTACACAGCCATAAGTAACTGATACACTCAAGCAAACTGGCTCCAGAGCCATACTCTTTAAAAAAATTTTTTTTGTGTGTGGTGCTAGGAATGGAATCCAGGGTTTTGTGTATGCTAGGCAAGTGATCTACCACTGAGATACACCCCCAGCTCAGAGCCACTCCCAACCACTGTCCCATCCTGCATCTTGTGGCAGTACAGGCCCAACTTCTTTGTTGGCAGGATCTCCTCCATTGCCTGGACAATATCCTTTCCCCCAGTCAAACCAAACTGCTCGCTGATCCCTTGGCTTCCCTATCAGCCTGCTGTGGCTCTCACCACTCTCTCCACCTGAAGGCAAATTCCCATTTGTCCTCATTTATTCCTGCACTGAGTCCCTGAGTTTCTGCCACATGCTAGGTGCTGGAGAGACAGTGATGGCTGAAACACCCAATTCCTCCTCCCAGAGGCATATAGTCAAGAGGGGGAAACAGAAAAACAGGGGATTACTGGGGGCTCCTGGGATGCAAGAAGGGACAGCAGAGACTTGGCTGAGGGATGACAAGGTATTGGCAAAGGTAACATCCACACCTGCCTTGGGGATGAGTGGAGCTGGCCCGGTGAACGTGGAGGGCCTGGAGGGCCTTCTGGGTAGGTTGTGCAAAGGCCTGGAGAGGGGTTTAGGAACCAGACGCTGCGGAGCGCAGCTACAGCACAGTGTGTCGGGGGGAAGGGAGGCTGGGGGATGTGGGCAGGTAAAGGAGGACCAGAAAATGTCCTCACAGGGTCTGGACATTTCCACCCACATCACATCTGCCTTCACCTCACAGCAGAATCCCCCTAGTATTACCACCACCTGGCCAGGTGGTCTGCGAGGGATAGAGCTCATTGCCTGGTTCATGGGTGGGCTTGAAACTAGGCAGAGCCCATCAGAGACCTGTTCCTTGCCCACCTATAAGGACTGGTTCACAAATAGAGACTAGATCCACTCCTCGGCTACATGCAGAAACTCCTGGGACAGAAGGACCCTCTTTCTCTGGAGTGGCCTGGCTAGTGGTCTAAGCCACCAGGATCCAGAGTTGCTACAGAGAAAAGTGGAAGGGACCTAAGCGCACCTGTGCTGAGCACGGAAGCCAGCCGCACCTCATAGCGGGGCTTCCCTTCCTGGTCGACATCCTTGAAGAGCCGTGTGTTGTAGGCACTGAGGTTCTAGAAAAAAACAAGGCAGGGGTTTAGGGGAGAAAAAGGTCCAGAGAGGGTAAGGGGCTGGGAGAAGGGAAAGTGATGGCTGTAGGGGGATGGCAGAGAGGCAAAACAGGCCGAGGGATCTGGTCGAGTCAGATGGACAGGGAGCAGGTACGGGCGGGCAGGCCGGGGCTGAAGCTCCTGCTCTGCTACCTACACTGAGCACCAGTTTTTATTAGTTATGGACTGGACGTGTCAGGCACTGCATGGCTGCAGCTGACCCAGTGCTACACGAGGTGGGTGCCCTTCACAGACTGGTCACACAGCTTGTCCAGGGCCCAGGCTTAGAAGCACACCTCTGATGTTTTATCTCATCCTGCCCCGAGGCTGTCATCAGGCCCCGTAACCCGGCATGGGCAGGGTCAGCTCCATGCCTGGCATATCTGGGACATCTGGGTGACATCCTCTTGGTTCGTGCAGGCTGATCTCAAGGACAAGGATGTCTGAGTCTTTTCCACCTTAAGGACCCGACATGCCTGTGTCTCTGGGTACAAGCTGAGACTCAAGGGCAGGCATCGGTCATGAGGGGACTGACAGGAGGACCCCCTCACACCATTGATGAGTCCCCAATCCCCGAACCTGGGAATCCAGAAAGTCTTGAGCCAGCTTGGCATCCTCCATGGTACAATCCCCAGAGAAATAGGTGGTGATTCCCTGTCGGAAAAAAGGGGAAGGTGGGAAAGAGGAGTTGCTAAGGTCAGGAGTGGGGGGCTTGCAGGGACAGCCTCCCAGTCTTCCTACACCTCTTCCCAGCAGCTTCTATCCTGCCCCCCGCTCTCTTTCCAGGAGAAAAAAATTGTAAAACAAATGGATGTCATCTTGGGCCTTTCTGCAGTTCTGCCCAACTTCTACAGCTGGCCCACCCCCAGGCTGCCAAGCCTCTCCCCTGCAACCCAAGCAGCCTCTAGAAGTGGGCAGCCTGGGAGCCCTCCTTCCCCAGCCTCCATCCTCAGCGCCTTCCACCTCCCAGCTTTTCTTTCCTTCCCTCCTCCTGCATACAGCATCCTGGCATATCAGAGCTGGGAGGACATGCAGGAAGCATTCCCTCCAGCTTTCTTCCCAATTTACAGATGACCAAACAGGCCTGCAGTGGAGAGCAGCTTTGCCTGAGAGAGACAGAGCCCAGTGCCTTCCTGTCAGCTGCCCTTCCCTTCACCCCAAGGGCACCCTCCACTTGCCCAAGCATTTGAGGCCTCACCTCCTTCCCCAGTCCGAGGTGCCGAAGTCTCGGCTCTAGAGAGAACATAAGCTCCCCGCAAGTCTGCCAGAGGTCCCTGACTTCTTTTGGATGCTGCTGAGCGGCTTTACTCCCCAGGATCACACGTTCCAGCTTCTCCTGTGGGGGAAAGGAGGTCACTGGCTTGATCATGCTCCCCTCAAACCTGCCCTCCAGATCCCCCACCTGCGCCCACTCTCTTTTGCCTCAGAGTGTGGTCCAGGGTCCAGCGCTGGCTGGGCCTGAGAAGTGTCAAGCCTCAGGTGCACTACAAATCTGCCAAGTTGGATGCTGCACTTTGACATTACCAGGTGACTTGTACAGGCATTAAGATCTGACCAGCCCTAGTGTATGAGCTGCATCTGCCCCAACAAGGCTCTAACCTCACAGTCCCTAGAAGGGATGCCCTGGACCCAGGCTCCTCCCCTGTTCTCCGTGATGACCAGTGGGCTCCATTCTTGCAAGCACCTACTCATTCATGCTTCCACACCCTGCTCTTCCTTGACCCTCAGATATGCAAGGCTTTTCCTTTGTATGTGTATGCAGCACAGGGCAAGGCTGACACCCAGGGTTACACAGTGTGGCAGAGACAAGGCCAAGGTTCTGCTCAGCCCTGGACTCCAGCTGCGGCTCCTTTAGCTATCTTTGCCATGTACATCCCACTGGCACCCTGCTTCCCACCTTTCCCAAACCTCCTTCAGCTCACCTTGGGCAGGTTGGGAACAAATTTGGTGTCGCCGAAGGATTTGTAGTTGCCCATATTGGAGTAGACCCCCGCAGCATAGACCAGGAATGCCTGAGGGGGAGATGGTATCACATCGGAAACCTGGGACACACAGCCCTCCCACTGTAGGGAAGTCCCTGCCTGAGACCTGACATGACAAGCACATGTGGTACAGGCAGCATGGGTGAGGCTGGGAAATCTAGGGGCAGGACCTAGAGCCTGGGGAGCCCCAGTCTGGCTCCAAGTTACTTTCACAGACCAATTTCACATCCCTGTGGTCCAGCCACGCTGGTTTCCAAAGTTCAAGAACACCCAGTCACCCATCCACCTTTGCTTCCTCTCAGCCACTTATGGCCTTTGTGTCATTTAAAGCCTAGTCCCAACACCAACTCCTTCTCTAGAAAGCTTATTCTCAGCTTTCAACCTGTCAAGCAGCGGGCACAGGAAGAATCAATTGTCAAAGCCAGGTAGCCTCAAACATCTTTCTAGGCCATGTTTCTTTGCTGGCCCCAATCTAGTCTCACTTTCTCAGCACAAAGAACTCAATCTTCCTTTTTCTGGTGGTGGTTATGGGGATTCTCCTTTCCCCCAGTTCCAGTGCGTATGTAGGCTGTCTTGGCCAGTCAGAGAAATCTATAAGGATGAGCATAAGGCTTCAGCTGGCCAATAAGCTCTAACCAGGAAACTTGCCATTGGTGAACAGTTTCCTCTTATATCAGCCCTGGAAACCCTGAAGCGCCCCTGCTGGAGTGAGGAAAGAAAGCAGAGCTGAGAGATGAAGACTGCACTCTGATGGTAGCACTGAGCCCCTGAATATAGCCATACCTGAAGCTTCCTCTGGACTTTGCAATTATGCGAACCAGTAATTCTTTCATTGAAGCTACTTTGAGGCGAGTTTCTGCTACTGACAAACAAAAGAATCCTACTAAAAATAGTAGCAATTGGGTAGCACCTTCCCATTTATAAGCATACCCACAGACTAGCTCTTTTAATGAGAAGAACACAGTCTGGAAATGCAAGGTTCAAAAAAGCTAGAAGAAATAGCACCTCAGTTCAGAGATAAGCAATCCAATCCCTTTATTTAATATATAGAAAAACAGATTATATTCTTGTTCATTCTTAGTGGGAATATAACTCAGAGAAGCTTTTTAGGAAAATTTAACAGAATCAGTTGATAATAAATGTACACAGCCTTCAACCCCGCAATTCTGCCTCCAGAAATAGATCTTTCTCACACATATGCACAAGAATGCTCACCATGGCACTGTTTGTAAGAAAACCCAGGAACAATCTAAAAGTCCAGCAATTAAAAAAAAAGACTAAATTGATTATAGTGTACACTGTTGTAGAATGCTTCAAAGCCAATAGAAGAATGAGGTAGCCAGGTGCAGTGGTATGCACCTGTACTCCCAGTTACCTGGAAGGCTAAGGCAGGAGGATAGCAATTTTGAGGCCAGCCTGAGTAACTTAGAGACATTATCTCAAAACAAAAAATTAAAAGGGCAGGGATATAGCTCAATGATAGAGAGCTTGCCTAGCATGTACAAGACTCTGGATTCAATCCCTGACACTGGAAAAAAAAAAAAAAAAAGAAGTGGATTAATATGTACCCATGGAAGTTCTCCAAGACACAGCATTCATGAAAAAAGCAGTACACAGAAGGTGACAAAGAGCATGATCTCATTTATGTGAAAGAGAAAATAAGGATGTGAAAGCTGTGCTCATACAGGTATAGGCATGCAAAACACAGACACCATCCATAGTGGTCACCTCTGGAGAGGCATGAGAAAGAGCAATCTTTGTGTTTTATTCTGGGCCCTTTTGCATTGCTGCAATGCTCTAAGAATCCATGAATTACTTGGCCAATAAATCTATAAACAAACAAAACCAAAAGAACATTTTGCCCACTGCCAGAACTGGTTCAGAACTCAGACTGCCCGATTTCTAGCCTTGACTCCTTCCTACTTCAAGGTAAGTGATGGCTGCTTACTCAAGATAAGTGAGCAGCCATCACTTACCTTGAAGTAGGCACTGTTCTAAGTGATTCATTACAACATCAAGGCAACCCATTTGTACTTTTTTTTAACAGATGAGAAGACTGAGGTTCCAAGGAGAGGAGGCTCCTGAGTTTATAACATTTGGTTTAATCCTCTCCCTGCATCTTGATTCCTCACACCCAGAAGCCACTCAGGAAATGAGGGCTGGCCTGGGTGAACTGACCTGATACTCCTCCTCGGTAAGGCCTTCAGCCAGGGCATGTTGGCGCAGTTGGTCAGGGTCCTGGGTGCGGAAGAGGCGGCTGAGGAGAGTGTAGATGTAGGGGGCCTCAGGGGAGGTCTGCAACAGCACAGCCAGGCCTCCGTACCAGGCGGCCCTGGACAGGTGGTGGGCATAGAGGCGCTCTGTGGGTGACAGCAGGTGGAAGGCCTCGCGGCAGTCCAGGCTAGATACGCCGATGTCATTGGGCAGGATGTACTGGGTATCCGCCATGGGCCCTAAAGGAACCATCATCACATCTGTCATTCAGCACACCCTAATAGCACACCTGGCTCTGAACTCCCATGAGTTCTTTTGGCCTCCCAAAAGCTCAGGAGGAAGGGAATACTAGTGGATCAGTATTCATGAGATATGCTGAGACTCAGAAGTGGTTAGTGACTCCCCCAAGGAGATTATAAAGTACATACTGAGCCACACCGAGCCTGTGGTCCCTCAATCTCAAAGTCTGAATCCAACCACCTAGTTTACAGCTGGAGAAACAATCCCAGACAGGATAGGAGTCTTGCCTAATCACACTACAGAGGGGTCAGCATCAGAGAACCTCATTGCTAGACTTCCAGTCCAGGTTCCTCCCTATCTTCTCTCCTTCTCTGACCACCTACCCTCCTTGTTCAGAATAATTACCCCCTCCACCACCATTGTTCAGAAGGACAGAGGGCCAGGTTTCTAGCTGGAAGCCCCAGATCCCAACCCCGACAGGATCCCAGCCAATTGTTTCTTTTCTGCATCTCTCTTTTCTCCTATTGAAAAGAGGATGACAATAACCCCAACCTCAACCCAAATTAGATAAGGTCGCCCTGGACAGGATGTACCTACAGCAGCAATGACTTCCCATGAACTCTTTTCCTCCCTCATGGCTCCCAGCACTTTGGTTCTCTTGCCTCGACACATGCTCGGCCAGGGAAGTCACAGACGTCCAGAGCCCATTGTATATAGGGGAAAACTGAAATCTGGCGCGGCCAAACAACTTACCAAAGGTCTCACAGCCCCGTTGGGATCTGGGGGTCTCCCAGCCCAAAGCATTCTCCACTACCCCCTCCCCGACTGAGAATGAGTTTCTAGCCTCCCCCCACCCCACTCACGAGGCTCCGCCCCAATAGCACGTCCCGCGGGTTCCAAAAGAGATGTTAACTCTTTGCTTCCAGGGACTTTCCTTGGCCTAGGGACCGGAATGGATTTGGAAGGCGTAAATGAAAGGTGGGCAGAAAAGGAGTGATCCTACTCTCGACCCAGCCTGGCTCAGGTCCCCGGAGGATGACACACCGTGACCCCGAAACCGACACAGCTCCTCACCTGCAGCACTGCGCGGTTCGCAAACTCACTTCCTGCTTCCGGCTCCCCCATTCATTGGAGCTCCGCAAACCCCGCCCCTGCGAGCCAATTCTCTGGCCCCGGAGTCAAGATGGGCGGCGGCACCAGCCAATAGGCGCGCCGAGGCGAGCTCCTTCGGCCTGCTCCCCTCACCCCCACCCGCCCAGGCTCTAGGGTGTCGTGCGCTTGGCCCTGCGGCCTTGGCCTTTTGTCCGTGGGCCAAGCTTGCGCCGGAGCTGAGCATTTCGGTGCCCCACCTGGCCGGGGCCTGGTCCGTGCAGACAGGGTCCCCGAGCCCGGGCGGGGCTAGCGTGTCATGGACAGAGAGCATCAGGGTCCTCACCTCACACACAACCAGGACCCCACCCTTTGGGGTTTCGCCTTCGTCCCCCGACCTCAGTGTTGCAGGTGGAAACCTGCCCAGTGGGAGTAATGTGGCTCCCCGGTCCTCACTGGACTCGGGGATCTGGCGGGGAGACTCTTTGGAGACCGCAGAACTCTGGGTCCGGGGAATCGCCCAGGTGGTCCTGCCAGCGCAGGGGCACGAGAAACGCTCCCGAGTGCTTCACTGCACCGCCACACACAGGTGTGGGCCTGGAGGGAGCCGCTAAACATTTCCAAGTCACGGTTTCCTCAATACAAAAGGGCGAGGGCGGAAAGGGGCGGGCGGTTTCTTGGTGCTTGCCCGGTGTCCGCTAGATGAGAAAGCTTCCAGTGACCCCGGAAGGCAGCCCAGTGCAGAGGCGGTGGGAAGTCCACTCTTACACGTCAGGAGCCTGGGCCTGGGTGGGGCATGAATGTAGAAGTGCCTGGAGCTGGACGTGGGCCAAGTGGGGAGCTTGGTGACAGGCTCAAGATCAGACTGGGGGGTGGAGTCAGGTGGCCTAAGGTCAAATCCGGTTTCTATCACCTAAGGGTTCTGTGACCTTAGGTGGGTCACTTTATCTCACCAAGTTGTGGCTTCATCAGCTGGAAAACTGGGCTAACTGAAAAACCACTTCTAGGATGTTGTAGGCTTCAGTGAATGTCGACTGGGCAGTACTGCCCCCTAGAGCTGTGTACATGCAAATGGGGTGTTTGAGGGTCTGAAATCTGGCACTCTGTCCTTGTGACACCTGCTTCTAGGCCCAGAGCAGCAACTGCCCATCACAGGAGCCAAGTTTCTCATTTACAAAGATGCACAAGGCTCTGCTTGGCATGACAGTGCTGCTAGCTATTGGCTCTGATGACAATTGCCATTATAAGGAGGAGCTCAATAAAAGGGTATATAGCCATACAAAAGTCATCTTTTCTATAGGAAAGTCACAGGTCTCAATTCTCATTGTTTTTAAAATGATTATAAAATGGATTGATTCAGGTGAAGTCGAATGTACATAGGAGGTAAAGTGGTCCATGGCCACCAGGGGGCTCAGGCAAGCTAAAGAGCCCGGTACACAGGACCCTCAACCAAGCTTTAAAATTCCCATTTTTATGATTGTGGTTAATGGGAGCGCTTAATTGAGGTCTTTTGTCAGTTGCTTGCCATGGAGAATCTCATTTAATTCTTGCAAAACCCCTGAGATAGGATACCACTGCACAGATGGAAAGACTGAAGCTAAGGGGATTATTGACTTCCCTAAGGCCATACAGATATTTTCAGGAATCCCTGAACTAGGGCCTAGTCTTATTCAGACCTTCCACCACACTGTCCCTTCCACCTGTCCCAAAAACACATGCATACCCACACTCACACAGAACTGTCTACTCACTGGAGTCATGCTCATCCCCTGCCTTGGCCCTTCCCCTGGAGAATGTCAAAGAGATAGGTGAGGAAGCAGTGTTAAGTATGTACTGTGGCACCAGTGCCTTCCAGACATTCACAGCCACTTGATGAGGAAGGGACTGTCATCCTATTTAAATGAGGCTCCAAGATCTGACAAAGGGCATAGCTGGGGCAAGTCCCAGGCCATCTGACCCCTCCCGCCAATACCTACAAGTTCTCCCCAGCACTGAGGGTAGTGCCCCTAGCTTTTCTCCCTCCCAGAGTTTGAAACTCCCCACCAAAAATGGAATCAGATTTTTCCCTTTCCTGGTTCTCAACAGGGTCAGAAGAAGGAACAACTGGGGAGAATTGTGTTTCTACTGCTGTAGGATGTTTGAAATGCTCCCACACCCACTCCAGCGTCCTTATCTGCCCTCCATCCCATGGTAACTAAGCATTACTTAGCAAGGAAACAAGGATGCAGTCACATCTCCCTCCTCTCACCATGCAAGCATGCCCTCTGTCCTCTCAATAGCCCAGGTCTGGTCTCTGTGGTCCTAACCAGCTGTGTGGCCCTGAGAAGTTCCCTCCAGGGGAAATTGCACTCCTCCTTTTTGCAGTTCTGGGGATTGAACCCAGGGCCTCTCCACCACTGAGCTACATCCTTAGCAGCTCTTATTTTTTGAGACAGGGTCTTGCTAAGTTGCCCAGGGTAGCCTCAAACTTGAGATCTTCCTGCCTTAGCCTCCTGAGTTGTTGGGATTACAGGTGTGCACCACCAAGAATCTGCACTCCTAAGGCTCTGGACTCTCTACTGCACTGGGGATAATACCCAGGTCCTGCCTGCACTCAAAACCTTCTTTTTTCATATTTCCAGAATGTCCTTCTACCTGACTTCCTGGTTGGTCAGAGGGCAACCCTAGCAACACCCCTAGCTCGATCCTTGGTTCACAAGAATAGGTAACCCCTGGATGCACAAGGGGTCCAGCTCAGACACGGCCACCAGGGCTCACCAGACCCTAGTCCAGATACCCAAAGCCCCATCCCTCTTTCCTGCCCCACTGAACACCACGCTCATTGGTCACCAAGCATTTTCCCTGTCCTGCTATGCTGCTCCCCTCACCTGATCTGCCCTCCCAACTCTGCCCTTCCTCTAGAGAGACTCCCTGTACCTTCTCAGAAGCCTTCAGTTCTTGCTCAGAACACCCCAGCCTGGCTGATGGCCCACTGTATCGGCCTGGGGTGCAGGTGGCCAGCAGGTTGTGGTTGCCAGCTTCTGACACTAGCTTGGGCAGGTCTCTCCTCAGGCAGGGAGCTGAGAAGGAAGGGCCTTGTTCATTGCTGGGACCCTGCATGGGGCTAGGCCATGGACAGTGGATGTCCACTGACCCCTTCTCTAGCCATTTGATGGGACAGACTTGAAAACCACATTCAGTTTAGCCCCACTCACTGAAGGAAAGCCATAGTGTCAGGGAGAGGAGCAGCCTTTGCCCCAATGGACAGCTCTGGGTTCAAGTCCTGGCTTGGCCACTTTCTAGCTATGTGACTTGGAGTTTGTGCCTTCATCTCCCTGTGAATGCAAAGGGTAATAACCTCCCTCCCTGGGTTAGTGTGAAGATTAAACAACAAAACCTCCGAGAAGCAGAGCCTGGTGCCTGGTGAGTGCTCAATGAATGCAGTTGTTATTATGGTTAGCACAGTGTGGGGCACACGTGGGCACTCAGTGATAGTAGCCCTTGTGTCAGAGCCAATGCTCTGGAGCCGAGAATCCTCTCTCTGCTTTGTTGACTCCTGGCTGTCCACAAATATGGATCCAAATCCTCCATCCAGCGTCTTCCCATCAGCCTGGCCCCGTCTCTGCTCTACCGCCATCTGCCCCCTGCAGTCCATGCTCCAGCCTCTAGAATCTTTCACTCAGCCCTGTTTCCCTACCCCTAGGCTGCACAGACTGTGCAGAGCACCCTCCCCATCCTATTGGCCTGGAGGAGTCCAAGCCACCATGGAGGCTGAGTTCCCTTGCCTCATTCACTTTCCTGTGGCCAGCAGTGATTCTTCCCCAGCCCTGAGAATTCTGTCATTTGGTAATTTGGTCCACCCTCCACTAGATAGTGAAATCCACCAGGTGGGGAACATGATTATCTCTGCATCCCCAGAGCCCACCTGGCACACACTGTAGCCTATGGTGGGCATCAGCACATGCCAGCACCAGCCTGCTGCCCACCTAGTACTTGCTCAGGGCTGGAGGCACTGCGTGCATGCGGGACACGTGAATTTGTCAGGGCAGCTGAGCAGCAAGGTTTATAGGGGAACCCGGCGGGGCAGCATCAGGAAGGACAGATACCTGTTACTGACTTGGCAGGCTCAGGGCACAGCCAGCCTAAGCTGGGGGTCAGGAACCACAGCTCCTTCACTCCCCCAAGGGCACAGTGTAGGCGGCATGATGTGGGATGCCCCTGGAAGGGCAGGGGCATGGGGCTGACTCCCTCCATCAGCCTGGAACAGCACTGGTGCTAAAGCCCTCATCAGTATGACTAGGGTAGAGATCTTGGGGACCTCCTTGGGGACCAGAGCTCAGGGGAGGGTCACAGCCCATCCAGTGTGTCCAGCCAGTGAGCAATGTGCCAACAGGTAGAGTCCCACATGCAGAGCTCCATCTGGGCTGCAGGGGGTGGGAGACCTGGGTGGGCAGGCGGGCACGGCAGCAGAGGCCCCAGGAGCTTAGTCCAGTGGCCCCTGGAAAATGAGGCGGACGCAGCCATGTTCACCCGTAAGCCAGGCCCCACAAAAGGGGCAGGCAGCATGGAAAGCATGGGTGCCGTGCGGTAGCGGCGTCTGGGCCCAGTAGCGGGCAGTCTTCTCAGAGCAGACGTGGCCGCAGGGTGCAAAGGCGTGGCTGGGCGGCCCAGGGTCCAGGCAGAGGCCAGCCTCCTGGCCAAGCCACAGGGGCACATAGGGCCCCACAAGGCGGCAGAGAGGACACTCGCGCTCCTGGGGGCCCCGTTCCCGCCGGCAGCCCCAGCCGTGGTAGCCGTGGACATGACCGCAGCGGACGTAGACCCAGGGCTGCTGCTTGTCAGGCGCTGTGCGACCGCGGGCTGGACTGGGGAAGGCCAAGGTGCTGAGGCCCACTGGGCACTGGGGCCGTGCTGCATTGGCCTCCTGCCGCTGAGCCTCCAGCTGCTTCAGCGTGGGTGCCCGCAGCAGCCCTGCCGGAGTGCGCCACAGCAGTGTGGCCCCACACAGGTCGATGAGTGAGCCGTCTTGCAGCACGTTGGATTCATTTTCCACCTGCCAGAGGCAGCAGAAGGGCCTTAGCCTAAGAGGCCCCAGCCCACCATCAGGCAGCCTCACCCCAGACAAGCCCTCTGTCTATCCCACTGACACTCTCTGGATAGGGCACACTGGGTCAGCAGGGCAGGCTGGGAGGTCATGTGGGAGTGGGAAGGCAGACAGAGGCTCCCTAGGCACTCGCTGTCCCCCACTCTCAGCATAGGCTTTGGTGTCCTCACTGGTCAAACCAGGAGGTCGGGACCCAAACAGGGTTTTTCCAAAGCCGTCCCATAATGGAAGAGGCAGGAAACACCTCTTGTGCAGAATGCTACTACTGAGGCCAAATCGGCTGTCCCAGGGTCATGGTTAACAGCAAGGACTCTGGAGTGACCTCATGGTTCAATAACTCTGTATTCTAAGGAGAGTAGCTTAACCTCTCTGTGTCTCAGTCTCCTTATCCTCAAGGTGGGTTCCAGGTCTCCATCTCAAGTGGGTCTCATGAAGATTAAATGAATTGATCAACATAAGTACTTGGACCAGAGCTTGGCACACAGCTCGACAAGTGTCTGGATAGTTTGTGTGCATAGATTTTAAAAATGACGCTTATCGGGCTGGGGATATAGTTTGCCCCACAAGCACAAGGCCATGGGTTCAATCCCCAGCACCACACACACACACACACACACACACACACACACACACACACACACAAAAGATGCTTCTCAACTCTCCCAGTAGCATCTCTAGATCAGCCCTGCTTTCCCCTGAGGTCTTCATCTCCTTGGCCAGCATGCTGAAACCCAGGAAGAGCCCTGAGTGGCCACATGCTACCTCTCTCTAGGACTCACTCCCAGCTCTGAACCTTCTTTCTCTGCTCTGTGCCACGTGGTGCTTCCACGTGGCCAGCACTGTCAGAACTACTCCAATGGCCCTTTCCCGCTGGGAGAGGATAATAAAGTGAAACCTGTTTGTACGTGACAGACACACTACAAACTGCCAACACTCTAGGCTATAAACTACTCACACATGGGCCAAGTGTCACCCTCCTAAGAGGGTGTGATCTTTTTTAAGCTGCTGGTAGCCTTGCTGCTCTTGGTACTGCACAGTGTCTCTGTGCAGCTCCACTTCTCATCACCCCCCAGATCTTCAGGACTACGCAGGCTACACCTGGG